AATTGAGCCACACCCTCCAGGGCTCCACAGGTACCTTTTGACTCCTCCAAAACTTAACTACGAATAGCTTACTGTTGATGGGAAGCTTTACTGATCACATGCGCAGTCGATTAACACATACATTGTACGTGATATGTATTATAAACTGCATTATAATAAAATAATAGAGAAAAGGAAACACTATTAAGAAAAGCATAAAGAAGAGAAACTACATCTACAGTATTTATTGAAAAAAGGCTATGGCCCTCACCAGTATAGCTTGGTTGGGTGTCGTCCTGTAAGGCAAAATGTCGCCAGTTCGATTTCAAGTCAGGGCACATGCCTGGGTTGCTGGTTCAGTCCCTGGGCTGGGTGTGTAGGAGAGGCAACCCAGTCGATGTCTCTCCCTCTCTTTTTCCCTCCCTTCCCTTCTATTTAACAAAACAAAACCAAAAAAAAAAAACTGAGCATAAGGAGACCTGTACAGTTCAAACCACGTTTTTCAAAGGTCAGCTGTGTTATTCCTACCAATGTGGTGCTCGGACCAAACACTTTGACCTCCTTTTCCCTGTGTTTTAGACCGTCCTCTGTGTCCATGTGCACAGAGTTACCTAATTCACTTTCAATGGTGCCACAACTTCTGTAGCATGTATTGTGTAGAGGTCCTGATTGTTTGGCATTTGGAGTCTTCTCAGAGAAATGTGGCCAAGGCACTTCCAGACCCTTTGGCCTGGGGAAATCTGGGCGCTTGTTTTCTTCTTGTGGCCCTCTGAATGTTAACTTTCAGCTTTTTGATTCTTGCCCCAAGTAGTTCTTACTCTCCATCACGTTCTTTCGGGCTGCCTCCTGGGATTCCCAGGCACTGTTCCCTCCGGGAGAGCCCCAAACGCACCCAACCCACGGGCCATGCCCCTCTCTGTTAGGCGCCCAGATACACATGGTAGTGGTTTAGACATTTTGGCCCTTGTGTCCCCTTGTCTTTTGTTTTTTCTCATCAGACAGGTGCTGCTGCCTGGTTTGAGATGAATTTCAGTGTGTGTGAAGTTGCCTTCACTTTCCCAAACCAGAAGCCAAGTGACTTGTCAGCGAGGAGCTCTTTGGGGTAGTCCAAGCAGCACCATGGAAGCCACCTGAAACCCCGAAGGCCTTAGGATGACCTTGGGGACCCAAGGAATTTGCTGGAAAAGCCAACTCTTTAGTTTTCTAAATCTATACGGCCGGGGTATTTGGTAGTGAGGGAAGAGGGCTAGGAACCTGGTCGGTCCTGTCTGGCCCCCCTGGGTGGGTCTTTCGCTGGAGTCCAGTGGTACCCGCCTTCCTATGCTCTGTCTAGCTCTCAGCAGGAACAGGCCATCCCCGCCCCTCGAGAAGGATTGGCTAGCCAAAAGTCACTTGATAATGGCAAAGCACACTGCTTTGGTGGCAGTGGGAACCAAGAGGACAAGGGAGAGATCGCAGCAGCCCAAATCCTGCCCATTGATGACCAGGCTGGACCTTGTTTGCACAGGGCTGTGCTGGTCTCCAGCAGCCATGGCTCCTCCAGTTCAGCAAAGCTGCCTTGCGCGGCCTCTGCTTCTTGAGCGGAGAAGCGAGCCTATTGTCCTGAGCGCTGAAGAACGGGAGCATTCATCAAGCTTTGTCCTGCAGGGAGGCTAAATTTAGGAAGCAAATTCTCCAGAGTACTTAAGTTATTTTTTAAAAATACATTTTATTGATTATGCTGTTACAGTTGTCCCGATTTTTCCCCTTTTGCCCCCACTCTACCCAGCACCCCCCACCCCCTCAGGCTGTTCTCCCCACCATAGTTCATGTCCACGGGTCATGCGTATAAGTTCTTTGGCTACTCATTCCTATGCTGTACTTTACATCCCCATGGCTATTCTGTAACTACCTGTTTGTACTTGTTAATCCCCTCACGTCTTCACCCCTTCCCCCATACCCACTTCCCACCTGGCAACCATCAAAATGCTCTCTGTATCCATGATTCTGTCTCTCTTCTTGTTTACCTCATTTGTTTTTTTAGATTCAATTGATGAAGAAGGAGGAATGACTGCTATGCCCAACAACATGGATTCCCCCCCTCCCCATGAGCAAAAGGACACTAATGTGTGATTTTCTTTTCAGATGCAGTTGAGTCACAAGTGAAACTAATCTCCAGTGATAGAGTCAGGACAGTGCTTCTGCCTGGGAGGGTGGTTTCAACTGGGAAAGGAGCTGAGGGCGCCTTCTGGAATGTTGGACATGCTCTGTCTGATATAGGAGTCATCCAGGTGCGCACCTGCGGTCGGGGTACTTTAGGTGTGCTACAGCTCCCTACAGGTAAATAAAATGAAGAACCCCCTGCGCAGCACTGCACCGAGGACCAGCGCCGCTCCAGGGTCAGTTTTCCTGGTCTCCCTGCCACGACGGTGCTTGTCCGCACGTGGCACCAGCATCCTGCCTGGGCTCCTCAGTGTTCGACAGAGCCTTACCCGCTGTGCCGCTTGAAATGGTTTTGTGCTGTGTCTGCATTTTTTGGGCCCCCATTACTGTCATTGCCCACGTGTCTGAGCTTTCACTCCAGAAGTGAGTTTGCTGATGGTGGCTCCATGCACGCACCTGCTTCATTGCAGCCTGACTCTTCAAAGGTGGCAGCTTTTGAAGTAAATCTTATTTTAAAAAGTGTGTTGTGAAACCCTGGGCTTCTCAAAGGTGGACGTTACCATATTTCAGCACTAAAGTCTTCTTTTTTTTTAATGCCTTCTGGTATCTGGTGGGTGCTCTGTGTTGTGTGTGAAGTTAGCGCTGCTCTGTGGAGGCAGTTAATTCCTAGAGGTACCATGTGCTTTGATGGAAGAAGAGGAAAGAAGGTCTGATGCTAAGTGTAAACTGCCTTTAGAAGAGCCGTCGTTCCAAACGTGTTTACCAGTGTTTGCTTGTCAGCACGTCTGGCTTTAGATAGGGAGATGATGTTCCCTAGACCGTGTGGGTTATTTTGCTGTCAGTTTCAGTTGGCTTGGCTTAGAATAGAGACCTCTAAGTGAGAAAGAAACCCTGAGCTGATGGATGCTGCAGGATTCCTTAAGGATTTACAGGACCACGGCTTTTCTTCCCACTTCACTGAAGTGCTCTGTGGGCCTGCGAGAGCCTGTGGACACGAAGGGGCCAAGGAAGAGCCCCGTGGAGCCCTTTTCCTTTGCCCAGCCACGTCCATGTCAGTGTTGCCTGGCGTCCCACCTGTGAAGAGTGACTGTAGATGCGTCCTCCCCGTAGACAGACACCTGGGTCAGAGTTTTCAGACTCTAGATTCAGCATTTTAACAAACTAGCTGCAGAATGCAGACCGCTGTCAGGTGGCAGAGACTGGGGTGACTCAGGATCAAACAGGATCCTGTTTCCGTGGCAGAATGTGTAAATATTCACACAGCTGAATCAGGTCAGATTTTGCTTCCAAGTGAATTTATTTCGTGTGTGTGTGTGTGTGTGTGTGTGTGTGTGTGTGTGTTGTTAAAAGTTGGATTTTTTTCCCCGTGAGCTTCTTGGGTTTGGATTTGTGGGGAGGGATTGCGAGCAGACACCTGTTCTCCAGCACTCTCTGGTGCAGTTGATTTAAAGTCCAGCATTAAGGCTCCTTGAGCTCTGGAGGAAATCTGGGGCGCCCAGAGGACGGAGGAGCATTTTCTCACACGGGTCTGTTAGGGTCTGTTCACGGTCAGGATGGGGTGTGGCTACTGGTTTCTGCCCTGCCAAAGTTCCCGATCCTCTCTGCTCTCATTATTTGGTCATGAAACCAGAACAAAGACGTTTGGGCTTCTGATTTATTATCAAGGAAAATACCTCCGCTTTTCAAATTAAACCTTTTTTTAATCAAGGGAATTAAAAATGTTTGTGAACTTCCTAACAGAATTTATCCCTTATTAAAACCAGAAGAGCCCAGTAAAGTCCAGGGACAATGAGATTCATTGTAAAAACCAAAACCAAAAAAAACAAAACAAAAAAACCCACCAAAAACATTGCACAGAAACAAACTAGATTTGTGACATGCCAGTAGGGCCTTTTCAGTCATTCTGGATGCACAGAATGAGAGAATGGGGTGGGGCCACTAGAGTTCATAATGTTTTGAAGACTTGTTAATAATAAAAATGGTCATAGGTAGGAGTATATGGAGAAAAGCTTGCCTCCAATGTGCTGAGTAATTCTGTTGAGACAGAGAGTGTGTGTGTCTGTACGTAGAACAGCCTAGAAGAAGGGAGGCACTGAAGTATGATAGGGTCCCAGAGACAACACCAGGGCAGCTCTGTGTCCTGAGAAGGCCCACCCTGGATGTCTCAGGTCCGTCATCACCACTCCGGGGGCACTGAGGGAGCCCCCCAGCCCTCTCTCCTCACATACCTCCTCCCGCACTCGGCTGAAAAGGATAGGAGGGCAGAGCTGCCTCTTTCTCTCTGTAGGACCAGCAAGCACTTATTTCTGTGTCTGGTGGGATGATGGGTGATTTTAAGCTTCTGTATTCTTTTTGTGTTTTCCAGATTTCACCACTGAGACTTTATTACTCCATCATGATGAAAGAGGTTATTAAAGAAAATATTACTTAAGGCCATATAACTGCATAACAGACTAAGGGTTACCTGAAAATTGAACCCTTATTGTAGAAAGCATGTATAAAATTTATCAGCTCATGGTCCTATCTGAGCAAGTATAATTTATCAATATCACTGAATTTTTTTTAGCTTATTTATGCCCTTGCTGGAGGCCCTGGGTCATAGTTCTGGGTGTCATCTTTTAGTTTACAACAATGTTCGTCATACTAGATGCGTGATTTTTACTCTCGAAGTATTTGAGATATTAGAGTGCCATTATTCATGTAATAGTTGTTGTTGTTTTTTTTTAATGAACCTACATTCTAAACTAAAATTCACTTACTTTAAAGGAAACTTGGTCTCCCTTTAAATGGAAAACCAGTATTACTTGCCATGAATACTTGTTTTCGTTGAATTTATGAGGGCCCAGTCAGATGCTGTTGGCTGGCAAAGGCTTTGAGCCTCAGTCATGCTCTCCTTTTTGTTACATTGGAAGGCGAGCAAGCATTAGAGCGGTGTACAGTGTGGATCAGCGCCACCCTTTGCTATAATCAGAAAGACGGGAAGGGGAGCAGAGCCCCCCCAACCTCCTGAGTTCCACCCCTTCCCCAGGGGATTTTTATCTGATTTTGTGTATAACCTCGCCCGAGAGCAGTGGAGAGGAAAGGTCTGGGTACCAGGAGCTTGCATTTCAAAGGTGCCAGCTCCCTGTCAGGTGGGTGCTTCTGATATGACTCTGATCCACCCAGCCGATGGCCATGACCCCCACACCGACTTTGTCTTCTTTCCGGCAGGAGACCGCTGTCCAAAGGTCCTGTGAAGATGTCCACTCCAGACCCACCCCTGGGCGGAACTCCTCGGCCAGGCCCTTCCCCAGGCCCAGGCCCCTCCCCAGGAGCCATGTTGGGTCCTAGCCCTGGTCCCTCCCCTGGCTCTGCCCACAGCATGATGGGGCCCAGTCCGGGCCCTCCTTCAGCAGGACACCCTATCCCAAGCCAGGGGCCTGGAGGGTACCCTCAGGACAACATGCACCAGATGCACAAGGTAGGGCGCCCTGGGCCCCTGCCCTGACTGGCCGGGTTCACTTGGTCAGAGGCGGGCGGGTGAGCCGGCAGTCGTCCTTCCACCCTAGCCCCTCGCTCTCGCCGGGGCCCTGCTCTGGCTGTCCTCTGGCCTTTCATCCTCCGATCTCCTCGGTGGTCATCCTCTGCTGGTTGGCATTATCTTATGCATCTGCTTGACCCCTAAATAGCTGTCAGGACCCGTCTTGGACCTAGGCCGTTTGGTCATGTTGGCAGTTCATTCAGCATGGTGTTTTCAGAGACATTGAAATCTTAGGCAGTGCTTTGCTCTGCCACCTCCTCCTGTCCCCCTTGCTGATCCTGCCTTGTCATTACCTGTTTGTAGCCAATGGAATCCATGCATGAGAAGGGCATGTCGGATGACCCTCGCTACAGCCAGATGAAGGGCATGGGGATGCGGACTGGGGGCCACGCAGGGATGGGGCCTCCTCCGAGCCCCATGGACCAGCACTCCCAAGGTAGTGTTTTGTTTCCCTTATTTCCTTGTGTTTGTCACCCCCCAGGGGTCCTAAGGTCATTTTCCTGTTTGGGTCCCCCAGGTAGACAGAGCACAGGACAGTGGGCAGCGCTGCCTTGGAGGGCTGTTGAGCTCGGGCTCTGCTGGTGCTCTGTTCGTGCTGTCTGTCTCAGAGCAGCCCCAGGAGAGCAAATACTGATGGGAGTGAGCTGTGTTGAGTGCTGACTGTGAAATGGCAGCTGGGCAGGGCGGGCTCTTCCGGCTAGTGGTTCTGGTGCCACTCAAGAGTGTATTAGAAATGCAGATTCCTGGGCTGTGCTCCAAACCAGTGGAGTTGGAATTTTGGGAGTGAGGCCCAGGCTGTGCTTTACTAAGTGCTCCAAATGGCTTTTTCAGATGTTTGAGAAGTGATGGAGCAGTTGACTTTTTGTCACTAGGGCAGGAAGCTCAGGGGCTCCCCCAGGTAGCAGAACTGGGGGCAGTGGGCCCGGCCAGGGCAAGGGCCAAGAGGCCAGACCCAGAGAAAGCCTAGATCTGTGTAACCTCTCAGTATTAACTATCAGCAACTTACTGAAAGGTGGGTCAAACAGAGCCAGGCACACTAGCTGTTGGCATGTGCCCTCTGGGTGCCTCGTGTTTAAAGCACAAGAATGAAGAAATTTGACCATCCCATGTTTCAGGGTAGGTGCCAGTATAAACCTGTTGGGAACATTACCCTCTTTGCCTTAAAAATCACTGGATGTGTACTGCCAAGCGACCGTTCGAATCCGCATTTCCCGCAGGTTACCCCTCACCACTGGGTGGCTCTGAGCATGCTTCTAGTCCAGTTCCAGCCAGTGGCCCGTCCTCAGGCCCACAGATGTCGTCCGGGCCAGGAGGGGCGCCGCTGGATGGTGCTGACCCCCAGGCTTTGGGACAGCAGAACCGGGGCCCAACACCGTTTAACCAGAACCAACTGCACCAGCTCAGAGCTCAGATCATGGCCTATAAGATGCTCGCCAGGGGGCAGCCCCTGCCCGACCACCTGCAGATGGCGGTGCAGGGTAAGCGGCCGATGCCCGGGATGCAGCAGCAGGTGCCAACACTACCTCCGCCCTCTGTGTCTGCAACAGGACCCGGCCCTGGCCCTGGGCCTGGGCCTGGGCCTGGCCCGGGACCAGCACCTCCAAATTACAGCAGGCCCCACGGTAAGGCCCACCGTCGCCAGCCCTTGGGGGAGGGAGGGGCTTCTCAGCACACCGACCAGGTGGGGCAGGCAGTGTCAGGCAGACCTAGGCTCTGCTGCCCACAGGCTTGCCTGTGGGGCCGGCACAGCTCCTGGTAACTCAGGGCGCTCAGGCAGACAGGCAAAGCTCCTGTCAGGGCAGATGTTCTTTCTCCAGCACCCTGTCTCCCCCTCGATGCTCACACAGAGGGGCCTGTTGTTGGGTGTTTTCCCTGGAGACAGGGCTGCCCACTGGGGTGGGTGCAGGGTGAACACAGGACGCATTTTATCCTGTTGTTTGTTTCTCTTTGTGTGCAGGTATGGGAGGGCCCAACATGCCCCCCCCAGGACCCTCAGGTGTGCCCCCCGGGATGCCAGGCCAACCCCCTGGAGGGCCTCCCAAGCCCTGGCCTGAAGGTGAGTTCCCTCTGTCTTGGTGCCGTGTCTGTGGCCTGACTCCCGTCCCGAGCTTACACCTTGCAGAACGCGGAGATGTGCCTGACCAGAGAGAGAGGGCCGAAGACAAGGCTTCGCTTCTTCCGAGGGTCTTCATTTTGTCTTCCCTGTCCCTGATTACTTTCTAAAGGCTTGGGTTGGTTCCACTCCATGATTCCTGCCCACCCTTGTCCTGTGGGTCACAGAGACCCTGGGGTCTCTTTAAACCGATAACAAGAAGAGAAGGATGTGAATGAACAAGTCCACTGTGCCTTCGGTGCGAGGCCACGGGGAAACACGGCTGCAGACATGACCCTTCAGAACTTGGTGCCTCCAAGCCTGGAGGTCACAGCTGACCCCCTTCCTTCCTGGAATGCCCCCTCAACACCATGGGAGGCCAGCAGGACGACAGGGCAGCTCAGGGTTCTGTTTCCTCCCTGTGTGCAGCTTCTCTTCCTTCTGTCAAATGTAGCGTCAGCAAGTATTCGAGGGTCACTTCTCTGGGGTGGAAGCAGTAGACAAGGTGGACTCGTTTCCTATCCCCTTAGGGCCTGAGGTTCGGTGATGGACATGGATGAGCTAATCACTTAAATCAGATTTTGTCTGTACGTTGGTAGATGGAAGTCAGGAAAATGCTGCCCAGAAAGGCCAGACTCAGGGTGGGCACTTTGGTCAGTATAGGGCTTCAGGGGAGGGCACACAGGCTGACATCTGGAAGAGGCTTGAACCGTGAGCAGGGGAAAGGAGACCCCTGAGTGCGAAGCTGCTTGCCACGCCATTTCAGTGAGAGGTGGGGAGATGGGGGAGGCGTGGCCTGCACAGTTTGTCTGTACCCAGGGCAGTGAGCACCAAGCAGGCTCTTTATTTCCACTTGGAATCAGTCTGGAGCTAAACACTGTGCCCCTGCCACTTGACTCTCTCCAGGACCCATGGCAAATGCTGCTGCCCCCACGAGCACACCTCAGAAGCTGATCCCCCCTCAGCCCACAGGCCGTCCCTCACCCGCGCCCCCTGCTGTCCCGCCTGCCGCCTCTCCTGTGATGCCGCCCCAGACGCAGTCGCCGGGTCAGCCGGCCCAGCCTGCACCCATGGTACCGCTGCACCAGAAGCAGAGCCGCATCACCCCCATCCAGAAACCCCGGGGCCTGGACCCTGTGGAGATTCTGCAGGAGCGGGAGTACAGGTAAGGGCGCTGCTGTACTTTAGGCCACCCCCAGCTGAGGCAGCCCAGACCCACGCTGGTGTGGTTCACAGTTCCACAGGCCAGCAGAGTGTGCCACCGGAAATCACCCTCCGCCTTGTCTCCAGGCTTCCAGTTCCCTGGTTTCTGTGTATCCTTCCTGAAAAATTCTGTGCATATACAAGTTGACAGGTACAGGCAGCCCGGTTGTCTCCAAATGGTTCATGACGTAGTCACTGTTCCTCGCGTAGTAACATGTTGTAGAGGTCATCCCCTGTATGTCCAAAAAGAGGTTTTGTTTTTCTGATGCACATAATTCTGCCTGCTAAAGATGCTGTCATTTATTCAGCCAGTCCCTTGGCTGAGTGGACTTTAGGTTATTTCTAATCTGGCATTAAAGACAATGCCATAGAAAAAACACTTGCATATTTGTTTCTCATTTCACACATATGCACATGTGTCAGAATACATCCCTGAAAGTGGCATTGCTTGTGTACAGGGGACATACACAGGAGAATTTCGTTGATTCTGCAAAACTGCCCTCCGCAGGGATCATTCAGATATGTGTTGGAATGAAAGTACCTGTTTCTCCTCGCCAACACTGTATTCAACTTTTGGTTCATCAACCCCTCCCACTACAAACAAACAAAAGTCCTACAAGCTCTGCAGTGAATCCTTCTCACATGTCACTAGTTGCTGGTTACATTGCCAAGGCCTCTTGGATGCCAGGTGCTGTGTGGGGTGCTGGCACACAGTAAGTCTGCGACATTTCGTCCCCCACTGCTGGGGGCGCCTGAGATTCACCCCCTGAGCAGCTTGCACTTCCCATTTCCTCGCTGCATTTACAACTTGTTCGGGGCAGTCCTCCCTCGGTGACTACGCTTCATGAGAGGAGACTGTGCTTCAGTCACTGTATGTCCCTGGACGCATCAGTAACTCTTTGCCCGATGACCATCTCTAGAGCGCGCCCCAGCTATGGCCTGTCTTGGAGCGCCAGCCCGTGTGGCCAGCCTGAAGATGGCCTGTCCAGGTGTCTTCACGTTGCCCTGCTCTTCCCTGGTCCCGTGCACCCATTGTCCAGCAGCTCACTGGGCCACAGACACTGCAGCCCCTTGACTCTTGCTTGCCCTCCCCCATCCCCCTTTGTGTAGGTGGTGCATGACCCCCGAACATGTCGTCTCAGCCCCCCTGCCCAGCATGTCCCTGCCACTGTTAACTGCCCCCTGGTCTACACCGCTTCCCTGGGCCCTCCCTGCTCTCACACTTGGCGGTGCATTCTGTCTCCACATAGCAGATGAAGTCTCTTTTTACAGTTTACTTAGAGCAGATGCATTCTGCAGGTTAAAACCTGCCATTGGTTTCCATTTATACATTCAGTGAACTTCTTCCTGTTCAGCCCATGCCCCGTGCTCTGTCCTTACCTACCCACCTGCTCTTCTTTTTCCAATTTCTGTTTATTTAACAAGTTAGGCTTATTTCTGCCTAAGGGCCTTCCCATAGGCGGATCATGACTCCTTGTGCTCACTCAGGCCTCGTTGCTGAGGCCACCTCCTCAGGGAGGCCCTGCCTACCTCCTCACCTCCGGCTCCCTTCTCAAAGTGCTTGCCAGTCTCTGGAGTTATCATAGATGTTTTCTTCTTTTTTTCCTTTTTTTTCTTTTAATGGTGGTTATGGGGTGGGTGGGTGGTGGTGGTGGTGGTATATAGATGTTTTACTTTCTAACTCCTTTATGGCCTGTCTTCCTGATAAGGCTGTGGGCACACAGAAGGTACTCACTGAATACGAGTGAAAGGCTGAGTGAGGGGATTATCCCATCCGAACTTCAGACCCAGCCTGCAGAGTTGCTGTGAGGGGTCCCCAGTGTATTGATGAGGCACTGCGGCTCCCGGGCTAAGTAGATTCCCAGGGCTGGGAGGGAGAGCCCGGCCCTCGCTGCCGCAGCGCCCTAAGTCAGCTGGACCCTGTCCGGGTTCCTGTTTGCCGTAGCTCTGAGCGCTCCGGGGCTGCCGTCCTCTGTGTTTTGTGGCTGGCGTCCATTTTTGAGCCATCTCCTGCCTCATGACCTGCTTCATGACCTGCATCTTCCTCTCTCAACGGATGGATTCTTCTGAGGCTCCAATATAAAGAAAGGGCGTAGGTGGGCTCCTTTGCAGTTCTCTCACTGCCTCCCCCTTTTTCTGTTTTTGCACCCCAGGCTGCAGGCTCGCATCGCTCACCGAATTCAGGAACTTGAAAACCTACCCGGGTCGCTGGCCGGGGATTTGCGAACCAAAGCAACCATTGAGCTCAAGGCCCTCAGGCTGCTGAACTTCCAGAGGCAGGTGGGTACAAGCCCAGACCTGGAGCTTGAGGAAAAGGGCCCTTTCTGCTAACGCTGATGCCTGGATTCAAACAGCTGCTTGCTGGGCAGTTATTAAATGTTCCTCAAACACTGCAAGTAGCAGTGCCCATCCACACTTGTTAGCTCACTGACCCCCCTTTCCTCTCCAGGGCCTGCACAGTGGCGATGCATTGGGTATTCTTGGTATGAATAAGCATGGATCTTCCCTGAGGCGGCAGTTACCAACTTAAAGCAGGAAACTTAAATGGGTCTATATCTGAGGGTGCTGTGCTTTTGAGTTAGCCCTAAGAAATATTTTGTGTGCGGCTGAGAGGAGGTAGAGCTAGAGACCCCACAGAAAGTAAGAGGACCTACTGGGGTGTCCAGAAGCAGCTGTCTCCTGGCCTGTGTTTGCCCCACCCTCGTGCAGTTATCCGACTTCCTGCACACACACTTATTTGTGTTTATGGCGTTTAGCAAGGGCCCTTCTGGAGGCAGTAGCCTTCTGCCTAGCTTGCATGGTGTACTTGTTCATTTTGTGTGGACATGACCAAGATGTGCCTGTTTCTCTTTCTTCCTGAAGCTGCGGCAGGAAGTGGTGGTGTGTATGAGGAGGGACACAGCCCTCGAGACGGCCCTCAATGCCAAGGCCTACAAGCGCAGCAAGCGGCAGTCCCTGCGCGAGGCGCGCATCACTGAGAAGCTGGAGAAGCAGCAGAAGATTGAGCAGGAGCGCAAGCGCAGGCAGAAGCACCAGGTGCGCCCCCAGCCACTGTGCAGCTTGCACATTGTTGAGTCTTGTTTAGTGCCTAAACACGCTGTTTCTCTTTTCTGTTTATGATGAAGAGTATTCTGGGTGCTAAGAATATAACATTATTAGACAAAACTGAGTGGTAGGGGAAGATGGGCCACAATCCGAAGGGCATGTAACATGTTGGGAGGTGATAAAAGCAGCCTTAGAGAGTGATGGGGAGCCCTTGACACAGGATAGTTGGGGAAGTGTTTTCTGAAGAGGTGAGATCTGAGCAGAGACCTGAGGGAGGGAGCCCCATGGATATGAGGGCAGAGCTTTCCCGATGGACAGAGGGGTGCACATGCCCTGGGGCTGATACGTGCTGTGTGTTCTGTAAAAAGCAAGGATCCCTGTGGGGCAAGGGAGAGGGTGAGAGGAGGTGGGGTAGGGAGGGGATGGTCAGAACATGCAGGGCCTTGTGAGCTTGTGAGGGGACAAACTGAACTCTTGCTCTGGGTGGGGCGGGAGCCACAGAGGGCAGAGCAGAGGGGGGACTGATCTAGGTTAGGTTTGTACAAGATCAGTCAAGGAGACCGAATCTCTATTCAAGTAGGATTTGGGATGATTCTGTTTATTGTTCACTCATGTTTTCTAAAGTTTTCCTTAAGTCAGTGTTTATTACTGGCGTAGTTTAAAATAACAGAGTAAGTCAATACTCAGTGTGGACCACTGTTAACGTTTTGGTATATATGTCATGCCAGCTTTCTTCTGCATGCATATAGTAACCAAACACGGGGATAGGCATTCTTCTTCTTGAATTTCTGGCCAATCTCTGCTATTACTGTAAAAAAAAAAAAAAAAAAATCCTAGCAGTGGAATAAGTCGGTGGGAGGGTGGGAGCATTTTGAAGCGGTTAATGTTCATGCCAGCGTGTCCAGCAAGGCACACTGCCTGTCTGCTGTGTACAGAGGAGGGTCTTCCCCGCTGCAGTCCCCAGCACTGAGTGTTGTCCTCTCACAGAGAACACGGAACCTCATAGGCAAACAGTTACCATGTTGTTTGATTACGTTGTCTTGGTTTTAAACAAGCTGCATTCGAAGTTTTCTCTCTCTCAGGAAAGCGTTATAGTGACTCCTGTCGAGTAGTCAGTCTTGTCTTGTCTGTCCCTGTAGGAATACCTCAACAGCATTCTTCAGCATGCCAAGGATTTCAAAGAGTATCACCGATCGGTCACAGGCAAAATTCAGAAACTCACGAAGGCAGTGGCCACGTACCATGCCAACACAGAAAGGGAACAGAAGAAGGAAAATGAAAGAATCGAGAAGGAGAGGATGCGGAGGCTCATGGTAAAATGCTGCATTTGTGGCTGCGTATCCCTGTGTGTGCACTGGGTGTTACAGTGACCGGGGAGTCTATCACCTCACGTTACACTGAGGCATTTTGCTGCTCAGAGTTAGAGGGGGAACAAAGAGAAAGAAAGGGCTTGAGTTTGAGGGTCTGAAAGAACTGGCCTCATACTTTGCCTGATCACACCAGCCATTAGAGTGACTGCATGATGTCACCCAGTTCGGTGGCTGCGCCTGGGTCCTCCAGAAAATGAAGGCGGCAGCCTCTCCTGGCTGTGAGCCACCGGCAGTGTGGGCCGGATTCCTCACCCCGTCCTTTGTTTCTGATCACTTATTCCCAGGTGATTCTCTGTTTGGGCAGATATTGACAGGTGTTGCTGTGTGTACAAGAGCTACAGTATTAAAGAGAGGGACACAGCCCCTGCCGTCACGGGCTTTGTGCTAGCCCCAGGGGAGAGAGATGCCCAAGCGAGACAGATTGTTTTGGGTGACTGAAAGTGCACTACAGAGAATGAAGCAGGATGAGGATGTGATTGACAGGGTGGCACCGGAAGGGCGGGCACCATCCACGGTTTCGGAAATCTGGAGGAAGTGCCTCCTAGGGATAGAGGAACCAAGGCCAAGGGCCCGAGGTGGGGAAAAGCCAATTGCAAGGTACAGCAAGTAGCCCCTGGAACAGATTGGTTGGGGGGCGGGGGGGGCATGAAGTCAGAGTCCCAAGGTCAGGTCACACGGGGCCTTGCAGGCCACAGGGAGGGCTTTGATTTTACTTCTGAAGATGAGGGGGAATCACAGAAACTATAAGCTAGGGGGTGATGTGATCTGATTTATTCTTAGAAAGCCATGAGGGGCTTGTGGCAGAGGTCTGTGGGGAGAGCTTTTGCATGGACTAGTTAGAGGAAAGGGTTTGGATTTGGGGCATGTTTGTGAACAGAGGAGACAGAACTTGACATTGGACTTTATAACAGCTCTGGGAAGGACCGTGTCTGTTAAGCTGGTCCGTGCAGGGCCTGTCTCTGGGTGAGTTGGGGAGATACTGAAGGGGGTGGCAATAGTTATGTGAAAGGCCTGTATATAGCACAACACTGACTGTGACTAAGAGCTGCCTAAATGCGGGTCTGGTTGCTAGTTAACAATAACTCCTACCCTGGCTGGTGTGGGTCAGTGGATTGAGCACCAGCCTATGAACCCAAGGGTTGCCAATTCAGTTCCCAGTCAAGGTACACGCCTGGGTTGCTGGCCAGGTTTCCCAGTAGGGGGCGTGTGAGAAGCAACCACACATCGATGTTTCCCTCTCTCCCTCCTTTCCCCTGTCTAAATATAAAATAAAATCTTCAATAAACAAACAGTAACACCCGGTGGACTTCTCAACTCCGGTTTGCCCGTCCTGGGGCTAATGGACAAGCGTGTCTCGCACAAGCAAACACCGTAACCACACTCTTGCAGGCGGAAGATGAGGAAGGGTATCGCAAGCTCATTGACCAGAAGAAGGACAAGCGCTTGGCCTACCTCTTGCAGCAGACGGATGAGTACGTGGCTAACCTCACGGAGTTGGTGCGGCAACACAAGGCCGCCCAGGTTGCCAAGGAGAAAAAGAAGAAGAAGAAAAAGAAGGTAGGCTGGGGACTGGAGTGGCTGTCTTGGCGTGTGTTACCTCAGCCTCCCCCGTCAAGGAGTGACTGTGTCTCTCTTCACTTGCAGAAGGCAGAAAATGCGGAAGGACAGACGCCTGCAATAGGACCTGATGGCGAGGTAAGGAACCTCAGGGATTTCTTTTTGTGGAAATGTCAACCCAGCCCCGGAGCTTAGATCTGTTTCATTCTTTATTACTTTTTTTTCCTTTTTAAACTGTAAAACTATATACGATGGTGGTAAGAATTCATATATGTCCCCTGCCACCATCCCAGCCCTTCCCTGATCCCACTACCCAGAGGAAACATTGTTAAATATTCGGTGTTCTCTTCCAGACCTTTTTCTCTGCGTGTGCCACATTATTTATTTTTCAATTTTTACTTTAACGTAGTTCTAGACTCGCACGTGGTCTAAGAACAGTAAATAGAATTTATGTGTACTCTTTGCCCACGTTCCCTGTTTTCACATGTCATTATTTTTTCCTAAATCATTTGAACATCAGATGCAGACAAGGTGGCCCTTTTCCTCCACGTTTCAGTGTGTGTTTCTTAAAAACACAGTCATTGTCTTTTGTAACTAACTGTACAATGGTCAAAACCTGGAAATGAACATGCAATACTGTGATCGAATCCACAGCCCTTATGAAGGTTTCTCCAGCTGTCTTGCTAGTGTCCTTCACAGCAACAGAAAACCCCGGTTCACATGTTGCACTCAGTGGTAGTCTCTTTTGTCTTTGATCTCGAACAGCTCCTTGCTTTTTCTTCGCCTTTTATGACCTTGGCGTTTTTGGAGAGGAGCGTAGGCCAGATGTCTCCTATAGTGGCCTTCAATTTGGGTTTGACTGATGTTTCCCTGTGATTAGATTCAGGTTATGTGTTTTGGCAGGAAGACCCTGAAGCAGTGCTGTACCCTTCTTGATGCATCACATTGGGAATGTGTGGCACAGATTTGTTCCATTAGGGGTGCTATTGACCTTGATTCTTGATCCCTTAGTGTTGGCCAAGGCATCCCCGCTGTCAAGTTACTGTTTTTCCTTTTGTAATTAAATACCATGTGGGGAGACCCTTGAGACTATGTACACATATTGTAATTCCAAATACTTTCCCCCAGTGGTTTCAGCATTCACTATTTCTGCTTGTATTAGTTTTTGTTTCAGTGGTTATGAAATGGTGATATTTTCCCCCCCTGCATCATTCCTTCTCTCTCTCTTTTTTTTTTTTAGTTGGCTTCTGTAGGAAGGAAAGGCTTTTTCTTCTTTCCTATTTGGTCCATGAGACATAGTTTGCCAACCCATGGTGTCAGCTCATGGATTCTTATTTAGCGTAAGGGGTTTACATAATCCTTCATTATCAATATTTATTTTCATGCTCAAATTGTTTCAGTTTGGGCCAGTAAGATCCCCTTCAAATTGATTTCTTCGTCCTTTTGATGTGTCTCCATTGTTCCTGGGGGCTTCCTGGCTTCTTTGTACACCAGAATGGTCAGGGCTATCTTCCGCTTTTCTTGCCTGAGCCTGGAGTCAACCATTTCTCCAAGGAACCCTGGTTTCTTTTCTCGAAGAGGAGTATTTTGCAGTTAAAATCTAGGAGTGCTCGTTGCTCCTGGGTGTCACTGCCTCTAGGCCCTCTCAGCAAACAGATGTAGGAAGTAGGTGTATGTGTGCATACACACGTGCATTGCCATTTATATATACGTATAGTGAAAACCTAGAGGTCACACTGATGCCACGAGTTCTAATCCAATACCATAGGGTATTTCAATCCTCTCTTTCCACATTGAAACAAAAACCTGGCTCCCATTAGCCATACGTTTCCCTATTTGCTCAACCCTAGAATAGCAGGATGTATGTTCAGAACTGCTAATGCATCCCCCTCTGTAAAAGGAGCTTCTTAGCTACAAGTCAGTATGTGTTTGGAGATCTTCATCCCAAGTGTGTTCTCCAAATACTGTGTACAGAAGTTACTTGAATTAGTTCTCCATTTGTGCCTGTTGGTGTGATTTCCCCCACCCTGTTGGTTTTATTTATTTACTCATTGTTGATTTATTTAGGTTGTGAAACACTGGCTTGTTCCAAAAGTTGTAACTATACAAAGTGGACCACTCAGAGAGGGATTGCTCTTGCCACACATGCATCTTCCACAACATTCCTGCCCACCTCCTGATAGCAACCATTCTGATGCAATACATACCTTTGGGAGAAAGATGTATAACAGTGAGATGTGTAAATAAGAAGCATTGTGTTTACTGCCTCCCCAGATCCCTTCTCATCCCACTTCCCAGAGGGAAATCATGAGCAACTGTTGGAGTGTTTGCTCCTGGCCTTTTCGATACGTGAGCCACTGGATGGTTTTCTTTTTCTTACCTATCATTGTAGCTCAGGCTGTCTCCCCATGTTAGCTCATGGACACTTACCCTATTCTTTCCAATGTTACTGAAATGTAATACTTCTCACAGAAAAAAATTGGATGGTTACATGAAAAGTAGAAGCCCAGGCATGCATTTTGATTCCTAGTTGACATCTTCTCTATACTTCCTGAAATCTTTATGCTTATATCCTCTTTGTTTTATTTTGGGACTATTTGGGTCAATCTAGACATTAGCTAGTCTTTTCCCACTTAGCCAAAAATTTTGTGCCACTTTCCATATCAAGTCATTCGTTCCATTTTCATTTTATTGGATTGACATGTTAGAATCTACTTCATCATTCAGACTGATAGCTCTTTAGGTTACTTCCCATTTATAGCTGTTATGTTACAAAGATCCTGCACTGAGCAGTTCCTTACCTTCTCCCCAACTGATGGTGATTTCTGTTGTTCCTTTTTTCCTATTGCACAAGTTGCTGTAATGGGCCTCCTTACCTTTTGATGCTCTCTTAGTCAGCTTGGAACGTCATAACAAAACACCATAGCACCACAGCGTGGGTGGCTGAAATAATAAACACTTATGTTCTCCCAGGTCTGGAGGCTGGAAATCCAAGATCAGGGTGCAGCAAGGTTGGTTCCTCATAAGGGCTCTCTTCCTGGCCTCTTTTGTAATGGGAGTTTTTATAAAACTCTAGAGCAGTTGAATCAGAATTATTCGGGTGGGTCATTGCAGCATCCGCATCATTAAATGCTCCCAAGGAGCACTCAGAGTGAAAGTCTCCAGCTGGGGGTTCATGCATCAAGGGTTGGTTTACCACTCCCCCCTCCTCCACGATGGTGGGCCACTTTGAGGGTGAGGTTGCAACATGCACAAAGACTAATCTCTCCCTACTGTATGGATGTTGTTGTGGTGAGTGCAGCGCGTTGAAGGGAGAGGAGGAAGATAGAAGTTCCTAGAAGATTCTTTTAATAAAATTTAATTGAGTAAATTTGAAGATCTAATTGGTTTTATTTGACGATTCATGAACTGGGTGGCAGCTCATCCAGCAAACAGACTGGTTATGCAAGATGGAAGGCTTTTATAGACAAGAGGATGGATCAAAAGAGTCAGGAGAAAAATGAAGATTTATTGGAATAAAGTAAGAGTTTAGGTGATGATGGCTTCTCATTGGTTGAGCTGGGTTTTAATTGGTGAGGCTTGTTGCTGCACAAGAGGAAAACCTTTCTCTTGCTGGGGTAGTAAAGTGGATGCACCTTCTGTTTGGAAGTGCAAGGTAGCTCTTTCTGTTGGGGTCTGTAATTGACTTCCTGCTGGGGTAATTGGCTTAGAGGGGTAAAGCATGAGAGCTCCCTCTATAGGCCTTCGCAACTCCAATTTTAGTTCAGTTTAATTGGATCCAATTTAGTTGATCCATTTTTTTTGTTTATTAATTTTTCCAATGTAAAGAAACTAAGAAATTCATCCTTATTTTGAAGTCTTTCTCCAGGAAATTTGATGGAGGAACTGTTGACCCAAAGTTGACATCTCAAAATGAGAATTCAAAGAATTTCACATTTGTTGCTAAGAGGAAGTTAGTTTTATTTTTCAAATATTCCAGTTGGTGATTTAACAAAAAAGAATGAGGACCCTTGGTGAAGTAACAAGTACAGTATAAATGAGAAAAAATCAAGGGCCAAAAGAATGTGAATAGTACAGTCATTTGTGTAAAAATGAGGAGAAGCCAGTTCTTGTTTCTTATGCATGGACTTGATCTGGAAGGATGCCTGAGAAACTGACACCGTGGGCATCGGTGAAGAGAGAAACTGTCAGGCTCCAGGGCAGGAGAAGGGGAGAATCCACACTCCGTACTCTTGAATTTTGAACTGTGTGAATATATTACTCGTTTGAAAATGAAAACAAGTATGTCAGTTCCCTCAAAGAAATTCTTGTCATCAATGGGATCTATTTTTTCCTGAATTATCAATGTACAGGTAACCCATTTTCACAACCACTGGCCATGGTTGTGCGCCATTTTGGGGGCATGGAGTTGGGAGGGCGCGTCCCCAGTTGGCCGTGGTTAGTGAACATCGGAGGTATGGGCACCATAGAACCAAAAGGCACACATGTGGCTCTTTTTCAGCCTCTGGACGAGACCAGCCAAATGAGCGACCTGCCTGTGAAGGTGATCCATGTGGAGAGCGGGAAGATCCTCACAGGCACGGATGCCCCCAAAGCGGGGCAGCTGGAGGCCTGGCTTGAGATGAACCCGGGGTGAGTCGGGCCTTGAGTTCCAGATGCAGCCAGGATCCTGAGTCAGCCTCGTTCCACGGGGCTGGCTGGCAGCTGGGGGTGACTGCTTTCATTTGGAAAAAGCCAGTTTGCTGGGGTAAGTGAATCATGCTGGTTTGGGGGAAACTTATATTAAAACACAATATTTTTCCTAGGTATGAAGTTGCTCCAAGATCTGATAGTGAAGAAAGTGGCTCAGAAGAAGAGGAAGAGGTAAGAAAGAGTCCATTTCCTCCTGTCAAGGCCCTTGGCACTCTGTAGCGGTGCCCTCTGTCCCTTGTGCATCAGTCGCCCCTGCATACTGTGACCCTCTCCCACTCTGCCTGGGCATCATGTGGGACGAGAGGTGGGCAGAGGGCAGCCAAGGCCCCAGTTCTGATGGGAAGTTGGTGCTTTGGAGGGGTGCTATCCAATACAGACGCCTGTAGCTGCACGTGACTTTTAATTTTAAATTAGATAAGTGGAATTTAAAACTTGGGAAGGATAACTCGGAGGGAGCTAGGGATGAGCTTCTGAAGGCAGCGTCTGTTTCACACCCGGAGCATCCCTCAGCTCGGGGGGCGTCTTAAAAGGCTTTTGAATGCCTTGAGAAGCTTTGCCACCTCCATACGTTTTTTAAAAAAGGAAGTTTTAGTGGGCATTTTCTTCATTACTATTAAGATTGAACATTTTTGGAGGGTGTTACTGATCATTTAGGTTTCTTCTGTGAATGGTTTGCTTCATTTGCTTATCTCTCACCAGCTGAGTATTTTTAAACTGAATTTTTAAGCACTCTTTGGTATTTATCCTGCCTGAAATCAGCATACTGTTCACCTAAGTATATCTTTTTTCTTGTCCTGTTTTTGCTCCCTTCACTTTCCCTCCTACCACCTTGGCCCCCTGGAATGCATTTGGTCCGGGATGCGGGGTGGAACTCTAACCCCCTCACCCCAGCAGTACTGAGTAGATTGGCGTACTGTAAAAGCCGTCCCCTCTTACTGACTTGGGATATTTTTAAAAAATGCTATATTTAGTTTTTATATCCACTGGCATCCTTTTAGGGCTACCTGTTCAGTTTCTTTTAATATTCTAATGGTTCTTAGGCCAGTATAATATTTTGTTGTAAATTTTTAACAGCTTTATGGAGGTATAATTTACATACCATAAAATGTACCCATAGTGAGTGTACAGTTCAGTAATTTTTACTGTGTCTACAGAGTCCTGCAATTTTTGCCGCACACCAGCTTTACAATGTCTCCATCCCCCCAAAATGCTCCTTCCTGTTTATTTTTAGTTTGTTCCTGCTTCCGCCTCAAGCCCTGGGAGACCACTAATGTGCTTTCCATCTCTGTCAATTTGCCTTTTCTGAATACTTCATATAAAGGGAGTCATACAACATGTAGTATTTTGTGTCTGGCTCTTTTCACTTAGCAGGTTCATCCATGTTCTGTGTACCAAGAGGTCTTTTTTTTTTGAAATCCTGAGTCGTATTTCATGGTATACATATACCATAGTTGTTTACCCTCTTACCAGTTAGGCATTTGTGTTTCCATTTTTGGCTATTACATGTAATGTTGCTGTGAACATTTCTGTACATGTGTATGTGTGGACATACATTTTCATTTCTCTTGGGTAGATACCTAGGAGTGGCATTGCTGGGTCATGTGGTAAATTTATGTTTATCTTTTTAAGAAACTGCCAAACTGTTTTCTAAAGTGGTTATACCATTTAATGGGATCCAGTTTCTTCATATCTTTATCAACACTTGATGTATCTGTCTTTTTTATTATAGTCATCTTAGTGGGTATGTAGTGGTATCTCATTGTGGTTTTAATTCATATTTTCCTATTAACTAATGATGTTGAACATTTTTTCTTAGGCTTAGGCACCATTCATATGTCTTTGGTGAAAGTCTTCAGATCTTTTGCACATTTTTAGTTAGGTTGTGTGTCATCTCATTATTGAGTTGTAAGAATTCTTTATATATTCTTGATAGATGTCCCTGATCAGATATATAACTTCTAGATATCTTCTAGTTGGCTTGCCTTTTTGTCTCAGTGGTGTCTTTTGAAGTGCAAAAAAATTTAATTTAGGTAAAATCCAGTTTATTGATTTTTCTTTCATGAATTGTGCTTTTGGAATTGTATCTAAGAACTCGTTAAAGTTACAAAGATTTTTTTCCTCCATTGTTTTCTTCTAGAAGTTTTATAATTTAAGCTCTTACACTTAGGGTCATAGTTGAGTAGATTTCCACAAGGTAAAGGTCCAAGTTTATTTTTCTGCATATGGATACTCACTTTACACTTGATGAAAAGACTATTCTTTCTCCCATCAAAATGCCTTGGCACCTTTATGGGAAATCAGTTGCCCATAAATGTAAGGGTTTGTTTCTTGCTCTAAGTTTTATTGTTGATATTTATGTGTGTTTTATCTACTACCAGTCTTTCTTGATTATTGTAACTTATAATAAGTTTTGAAACCAGGGTGTTATTCCTCTAACTGTATTGCTTCTATTCTAGATTCTTATGTTCCTGTATCAATTTTAGGGTCAGCTCATTAATTGCTATAAAAATGATTGGCCCCGGCTAGTATGGTTCAGTGGACTGAGTGCTGGCCTGTGAACCGAAGGGTTGCTAGTTCAGTTCCCTGTTGGGGCACATGCCTGGGCTGCAGGCCAGATCCCCAGTAGGGGGCACACGAGAGGCAACCACACATTGATGTTTCTCTCCCTCTCCCTTCCTTCCATGCTCTCTAAAACTGAATAAAATAAAATAAAATAAAATAAAAAGATTTCTGGGATTTTTATTGGGTTTGAGTTGAATCTATTTATCATTTTGGGAAGAATCATATCTTTAAAATATTTAGTCTTCCAATCCATGAACATGGGATGACTCTCCATTTATTTTGATTCTAGATTTCTTTAATTTCTCTTAGCAGTGTTTTGTAGTTGTTTTTTTTTAAAGATTTTATTTATTTATTTTTAGAGAGAGGGGAAGGGAAAGAGAAAGAGGGGGAGAGAAACATCAATATGTGGGTAGCTGCTTCTCATGCACCCCCTTCCACTGAGGACTGGCCTGCAACCCACCGTGTTCCCTGACTGGGAATCGAACTGGCGAGCCTTTGGTTCACAGGCTGGCATTCAATCCACTGAGCTATGCCAGCCAGGGCTGTTGTATAGTTTTCAGAGTACAATTTTTACACTGTTTCTGTTGAATTTATTCCTTTTTTTTTTTTTTTAAGATTTTGTTTATTTTTAGAGAGATGGGAAGGGAGGGAGAAAGAGGGAGAGAAACATCAATATGCAAGAGATACATCAATCAGTTGCCTCTCAACTGGGGACCCAACCCTCAACCCAGGCATGTGCACTGATTGGGAATCAAACCAGCAACCTTCCAGTGTGCACGCCAACACTCAGTCCACTGAGTCACACCATCCAAGGCAGAGACTTTTTTTCTGGTGTAGGTGTTTAAAGGTAAATATTTTCTTCTGAGCAGTGATTCAGTTGCAGTTCATACATTTAGAAGTGTGTTTATTAAATTTAAAGAATTTGAGATTTCCTTGATTTTTAAAAAATTGTTACATCCCCTCAGGAAAACATTGAGCATCTATTACATTCTCTGGAGAGCTTCATTCTTAGGTCACAGCATTAAGAGCTTCTGGTTTTGATCCCATAAACTCTCTTTGAAATGACCTGTTTTTGATTTGAGAAGACACTTTGTATGATTTTAAGTCTTTTAAATGTACTGAGGCTGATTTTAGAATTTAGCATTCTGGAGACTATTTCATGTTCACTTGAAAAAGTCTTTGGGTGGAGTGTTCTATGTGTGGTGGTTACATTGAGTTGGTGGATAGTGTTATTCAGGTCATGTATATCTTTGCTGATTTTTCTCCAATTGTTCTGTGAATTGTTGAGAATGAAGTAATATAATCTCCAAGTATTTTTCTTGAATTGTCTATTTCTCCTTTAAATTATGCCAGGTTTTGCTTCATATATTTTGATGCTCTGCTGATAGGTATATGAAGCAGGACCCCCAAAAATGGAATTTGTTTATTAAAAAATTGTGTATTTATTCTTTCATGTTTAAATTTCAGTCACCTTTAAAGTACTCTCCATTTGATGCAATATGCCTATTGAGATTTTTTTTCCACTGCTCAAAATAGTTTTTGAACCCATTGATTTTTACATCATCTAGCATTTCTGCTGTTTTTTGTTGCACCTCTTCCATGTTGACAAAACGTTGCCCTTTGAGGACTTTTTTTCAATGGGGGAAACAAAAAAAGTTGCCTGGGATGAGATCGGGTGGATTGGGAGGGTGGGGCAAGGGGGTCATGCCGTTCTTGTTCAAAAGCTGGTGGACATTCAGCGCAACATGAGCAGGCGCCCTTGTAAATCACCCATCGTGAAATGGGCAAATGTGTTGAAAGAGTCTTCCCCAAAATTCACTGAGCTGAATGCAGCCTCTCACAACAACGCCAGCTGGTGCAGTGAACCAGATGGGTTCCTCGCACACTCACCCAGCGGGGGTTGCCTGTATTACAAGGAATCTGCCCTCCAAAGGATAATTCCAGATTTTGGGGGGCCCCCTGCCTTTTATTTAGGTTTTCTTAATATACTTAACATTCTATCATAAAATACATTTTTGTCTCTAGTAATATTTTTTTGTTTTAAAATTGCCGTGGCTGACGTGGCTCAGTGGTTTGAGTGCTGACCTGTGAACCAGAGGGTCTCCAGTTCCATCCTCAGTCAGGGCACGTGTCTGGGTTGCCGGCCAGGTCCCCAGTGCGGGGCGTGTAAGAAGCAACCACACATTGATGTTTCTCTCCCTCTCTTTCTCCCTCCCTTCCCTTCTGTCTAAAAATAAATAAATAAAATCTTTTTTAAAATGTTTCTTTAAAAAAATTTTGTTGCATGTTAGTGTGGTCACTCCACCTTGTAATTACTGTTTGCATAGTGTAAGTGTTTTTGTTATGTTACTTTAAACCTATCTGTTCATTTGAATCTGAAATAGGAGATAGCTAGATCTTGCTTTTTAATCTAGCATACCAGTGTCTGCTTTTTTACTTTTATACTGTTCACATTTAATTTATCAATATGATTTTGTTTTCATTTGCCATTTTGCTACCTCTTTGTCTCCTGTCTTTTTTCCTCCATTTTTCCTTTACTGCCTTCTTTTGGGTTAACTATTTTTTCAGTGTAACATTTTATTTCTTCTGTAGTTTTTAATTGTTACTAAACTTCTTTAGTTATTTTTTTTTAAATCCTCACCTGAGGATATGCTTACTGATTTTAAAGAGAGAAAAAGGGGGCGAGAGAAACACCCATTAGTTGCCTCCTGTATGCACCCCAGCTGGGGATGGACCCCACAACCTAGGTGTGTGCCCTGACCATACAGGAATTGTACCTGTAACCTCTTGGTGTACGGGATGATGCTCTAACCAACTGAGCCACCGGCCAGGGTTGGGAAGATATTTCTTTAGCTTCCATTTTGGAAGAATAATTTTGCAGGGCATAGATATTTGTTGACAACCTTTTTCCCTTTCCAATGTCTTTCTATTACTTTCTGGCTTCCTATTTTAGATGAGAATTTAGCCACTTATTGTATTGATGCTATTCTACTTGATGATTTGTGTTTTTCTTTGTTGCTTTTAAGATTTTCTGTTTGGCAGTTTGTGAAACCTGTCGTTGTATTTATATTCCTTGGTGTTTGTTCAGCTTCTTGTCTGGGTTAATTTCATGTTTTCGGTTAAATTTAAGGAGTTTTTCATTACTGTCTTCTATTGAGATTCAGGGGGGAGGGGTGGGTGTGTGTGTGTGTGTGTGTGTGTGTGTGTAAATTTCATTAGAGAAAGAGAGAGGGTGAGAAACATCATCTGTTGTTCCACTTACTTATACAGTCATTGTATGTGCCCTGACTGGGGATCAAGCACATGACCTTGGCATATCAAGACAATGCTCCAATCACGTGAACTATTTCTTGATTCATTGTGCCTAAAAGATGGTTTCCTTTCATTCTTTGGGCATATTTATAGTAGCTTTGAAATACTTAAAGTAGTTTCTTCAAAGTTTTAATTCTAAGTCCAACATCTGGGAATAGAGACGGGTTCAGCTGCTTTTTCCCTGAGTAGGTGCCACAGTGTCCTCCTCTCTCTGGTACTGTGATGTTCAGTGGAAGCCTGTGTTAGCTTGTGACTGTGAAAGGGTTGTTTTGATAGTATGGTTTGCTTGCTTGTTTAGTAATGTACATGGACTAAATCTGTGGAATTGTTTCCCCCACAGTGTGTGCTGCCTTTGGTGTGCTGCTCGGTTGGGAGTTTTGGTTTTATTCTCATTTTTATTTTTAATCGTGGTTCTCAAGGAGCGGGATGTGTTTCTTCATAATTTAGTAGCTGTCCAATGATTGGGCTGGGGTTGTGCTCAGACACCTAGAGGCAGTAAGGCTTTTACTTTCTGCCTGGACTTTTCTCGTTTCCTCAGCACATGGGCACAGCTTCCGCTACTAATACGCTTTCCCAACGGCAGCTGAGAGCCTCACCTCCACCAACAGTGCCACTGGCATGGGCGTCACCCACTGCCATAAAGTGACTGAGTCCCCATGAGCCTCAGCTGCCAGTCCTCACGACCTGCCCGCCCTGGCAGAACGTTCGTGACGGAGCTGGGGGGTGGGAGAGATGGAAGCAGTCCTGAGTCAGGACACAACCAATGCCCGCACTTCTTACCTGAAGGTCAGCAGGTTTTCAGACATTACTACTTCTCGGTCTCCTGGAGATCTGGAATGGTTGCTCTCTCCAATTTTGTTCAGCTCCAAAGCTGCTTGTTGAAGAGAGAATTTGCTGGCAGCCTCACTCAAACTTGGCCCGAAGTCTCACTCATGTTTTAATTTCAAACATGATAGTATCAGTTAGGGTAAGTCTGTATCGGTTAATGGGTTTTTTGGGGATTTTTTTGGCTCAAAACATTTGTGCTGTGAACACCTATTTATTATAAAATCATTTTGCACACACCAAGAGAAATCCCACTGTATTTTTATTGGAATTATTTAGCAGGTTAAATATTTTTTTTAGTTTTATAGCAGCATTTGTAGAAAGAAAATAATTACTGAGACTCTGTATGATGTATACAGTAATACAAAAATGGTGTACTACTGGGAAATGCATTTATGTATATTTTATTAATATGCCATGCAAAGTCCTTTAATTATCTCAGTAAATGGTAAAAAATCGCTTTTATCAAACAACATTTATACTTTACAGGTTTATAGAAAACCTCTGCCTGTCATTGCCAGTATTATTTGACATATTTTGGGCATTTTAAGCCATTATCAAGAAAGCTGGAAGTAAATCAAAAAGAATGAATATTGAAAATTGGCTATTATATGTTTTATACTGAGCCCTGACCAATGTGGCTCTGTTGGTTGGGCATTGTCCCCCACCAAGTGGAAGGTCACTGGTTCGATTCCCAGTCAGGGTGCATGCCTAGGCTGTGGGTTTGGTCCCTGTCACAGCGTGTATGAGAGGCAGCTTATTGATGTTTTTCTCCCTCTCTTTCTCCCTTCCTTCCCCTCTCTCTGAAAATAAGTATTTTTAAATAATGTTTTCCATTGAGAAAAATCCAAGAGGTTCCAGTGAAAAACTGCTTGAATAGGTTGGACAATGAACAAATGTGTAGTATGCAAATACAGATTTGTATTTGTATACAAATGTGTAATGGGGGCTGGGCACGAAGAATCTACTATTAGTGACTGAAGTACAACGTGCCTGAGGTAGCCTCAAAGAGAAGTGTCTGGACTCTGCTGAGACAACTGAAAATAATATACTAATCAATTAAAAGAAGAGGCACGATACATTCAAAAAGTATGTTTTCCTTCTTGAGTCCCTGTGCCTGTCCTGGTGGGATATCTTGGGGTGACACGAGCTTGTCTCTTGGTAGGAGGAGGAGGAGGAACAGCCACAGCCAGCACAGCCTCCTGCCCTACCTGTGGAGGAGAAGAAGAAGATTCCAGATCCGGACAGTGATGACGTCTCTGAGGTGGATGCCCGGCACATCATTGAGTAAGGCTTCCTTGTACACGCTCCTGCTCCCCCAGCCTCCCTCACTGGGGTATGGTCAGGACCGTTGGATTCCCAGCTTCTCTGGACAGCAGTCACCACTGGCCAGCTGGCAGCCACTGTGAGACCACAAATGGGAGTGCAGTTGCGCCTCCCCCTCACTCTTCCCTGGATTAGTGTTTGCTGCCCTGTCTGTCCTTAGGGCGTTTGGCTTCATTTTTGCTATCTGAAGGCTCAGGTCACAGCTCCTCAGACAGAGAGGGTTGGTCCAGAGGCTTGTGTCAGAGCACGTAGTCACAAATAGGAATGTGTGCCCTCACACGACGATTCTTTTTGCTTCCAGGAATGCCAAGCAAGATGTTGATGATGAGTATGGTGTGTCCCAGGCCCTTGCACGTGGCCTGCAGTCCTATTATGCTGTGGCCCATGCTGTCACCGAGAGAGTGGATAAGCAGTCAGCGCTTATGGTCAATGGTGTCCTCAAACAGTACCAGGTGAGGTGGGGTACGTGTTCACAGAGCAGTCTTGACAGATGGGTTCCCAGCTTGTGGGAGGCTGCTGAAGTCGGGCAGACCCAAGTTCTCATTCTATTCCTTGTCTCTGGTACCTCTCTCTAAGTCTCAGTTTCCCCATCTGTGAAGTAGAAACATGATCTGTTAAGGCAGCCAGCAGGAGGAAATGAAACGCTGCAGTATATCAGTATCTGCTGGCGCTTGATCCGTGCAAGGCAGAGTAGCAGCGTGTTCTGTGAGGTTAGCTTCTGAGTCCCCAACAGCTCTGACGGAGGCACTCTTAGCCTCCGCACTTCACAGGATGAGGGGGTGCAACTAAGGGACAGAGCTAGGTGCAGTGATTCCTCAAGACCTCAGAGCTTGGGAGCGGTCAAACCAGTATCGGACCCATGTTTTCTGGAGTTCTGGGCAGTGTGGGACCGTGAGGGTTGAGAGCGTAGATGTCTGGAACCTGCAGCCCTGGACTTAGCTCTTCCTTCTGTGAAGGTGAAGTGCGAAGCAGTGCTGGCACTGAAGCTCTTTATCAGGCCTTTTCTGGAAGAGCCAAGAGTCAGAGCTTCCACAGTGGAAATTTATTTTTCTCTGACCCCATATCCAAGCTCATAAGCTCCCAAGAGGTAGCTGGTGTATCTCCAGAGAACATGATTCCCTGACTTTCCGTTTGGTTGTGGCCCCAACACGCCAATATTCCTTGAAAGGACTCTAAGAACCTACATTCTAATATCAAGTTCCTAAGAGGTGAAGCCAGTGACCAGTGGAAATTTCCAGTGTCCAGTGTAATCAAAGGACTCAGAACTTGGCCAGAAGTTACTTCCTTAATCTGTTATGAAAATTTCCAAATTCTTCTTTACAATATACTTTATATTCCATTTGAAAACAGTCTTTTTATTTAATTGCTTGTATTGTAGAAACCTTGCAAGCTTTGGAAAGCTCTCTGTTCGTCTTGGTACAATGGTCAGGCAGTCATTGGCTGTGTGGTGGATTCACCAGCAGGTTCCCCCAAAGCCCCAGTGATCTCCCCAGTCGAGTGTCACGTGGTCGTGGGCAGGTTTGTCTCAGTGTGCGGTGTGGTTTGGTGTCAGGCAGTGACACACAGACCTTGTAACAGAAACTTAAGTACAGATGTGCATTTCAAAAGGCAACTTTATATACTGTATGTATGTTATTAATACAGCAACCCTATGATTTCACAGGGATGATGGCTGAGGATGAGGAAGGGGAAAAAGGAGTGGGGAGATTGAGAACAAAACACCGAATGAAGGTGGCTCCGGGCAGTTGGTGGCTAGAGCTGCCCTTGGTCCCGGTTGTGCTCGAGGCCTTGAAGTGCAGGGACTGCTCTCAAACCTGCCCTGGGCTTCAGTGCACGCTGCCCTTCTCCTTGCAGATCAAGGGTTTGGAGTGGCTGGTGTCCCTGTACAATAACAACCTGAACGGCATCCTGGCTGACGAGATGGGCCTGGGAAAGACCATCCAGACCATCGCACTCATCACGTACCTCATGGAGCACAAGCGCATCAATGGCCCCTTCCTCATCATCGTACCCCTCTCGTAAGTGCGCCCACCCTGGAGACCCGGGAGCAGCTGGTGCGGATACCCCGGTGCCCGGCGTCAGCGACACGCCAGGCTTCGTTCAGACACCTGTGTGTTAGTTTACTCGGGCTTCCCTAACAACGTGCCATAACCTTGTGGCTTAAACCACAGGCATCATTTTCCCGGCGTCCATAAGCCTAAGAACATGGCATCCACAGGGCTGGTTTCCTCTGAGGCATCTCCCTCAGCCTTGCAGATGACCGTGGGCTCCCTGTGCCCTCCCACGGTCTTCCCTCTTTGTTGCATATGTCCTAACTTCCTTTCTGTGTAAGGACACCAGTCATTGGATTAGGACCCATCCTAATGGCCTTACTTTAATTTCATTACCTCTTTAGAAACCCTTTCTTCAAATACTGTCTCATTCTGAGGCTTTCGCACGGAGGACTTCAGTATACGGCCATCAGGAAGACACAGCTCAGCCCATAACAGCCTGCCGATGGTTGCAGGGGGCAGGATAGGAAAGGGGCGGGTGACGGTGTCCGTGCACTGTCTCAACTGGGGCAGCTCTCACAGGACGTCCTCAAGGTTGTCTTCAAGCCCACAACCAGCAGATTTCACAAGAAGAAACTAAAGATCCTCCTGTTAGAAGTCTGGAGGGGAGCCATTGGCAAACCCTGTTTCCATCCGCCACCAGCGGCACTGGAGCCCTGTCAGTCCCATCCCCGCCGTGGTGAAGCCGGTGCTCAGGTGTGGTAGGGGCCTGGGTCTCCTACTACATGCCCAGACCAGCGTCCTGAGGAGGTGCTCATTCACCACCTCTTTGTGCCACTGGCCTCTCCCTCCTCACAGATGCCTTCTGGGTCCATGATTCCACCAGCCACTCTGGTCAGCCCTCTTCCCAACTCAGCCTATGTCACAAAGTGTGTCACCTGCCCCAGGGTGTTTCCAGAAGTCCTAGGGCTCCCTCTCATCGACTGAGCTCAGGTCACATGTCAGGCACCAGTTCAGTTACGAGCCAGGGTGGATGGTCTGCTCTGTTGCCAGGCCTGTGTATGCCCTTGGCCTGGCCCTGGAGGGGAACCCCTTATTCTCAGCCCAGTGCTCAGTGGGGACCACGTCCTCATCACATCAGTGGATGAAGGGAAGAATGGGAAGCTGAGTGCTCGTGCCCTCCTGCCTTTAGGACAGCCAGGCCTCCAGAGGCCACACACCCATGGGGGGATCCCAGAACCCCACAAGAATTTAACCTGGAGAAATTGATTTCTTTTTTCCGCCTTCCCGTCCTCAAGGTGGTATGAAACAGGCCGCCTTGGCAGGCTTCACGGGGAGGACTGTTCCCAGCGCGGTAGGAGGTCCCAGGCTGGCACGTGGCCCTGCCGCCTCCTTCCTGGTCAGACCCAGCTTGCTTCTCAGGTTCCCACCGCACTCGCCTGGGCACTGTCCCAGCCTGCCAGTGGCTGCAGTCCCGTCTCTCTGTTTGTTCCCCTGGGGTGTAAATTAAATCTTCACACAGCTTTCTCCAATGTGCGTTCTGCAGCCAGGATTTTTCATCTTTAACTTGTCATTTTAAAGTTATTTCGGCCCTGGCCGGGTGACTCAGTTGATTGCAGTGTCGTCTGTGCACTAAAGGGTTGGGGGGGTCTATTCCTGGTCGGTGCACATACCTAGGTTGCGAGTTCAATTCCTCATCAGGGCACATAACTATATTGCAGGTTCGATCCCAGTTGAGGTGCGTATGAGAGGCAACTGATTGATGTTTCTCTCACATCGGTGTTTCTCTCTCTTTCCTCCCCCCGCCCCCACCTTCTCTCTAAAAATCAATGAATGTATTCCCGGGGGAGGGGAAAAAAATTTAAAATAAAATGTTCAGACTTACAGTAATTGCAAAAATAGTGTAAAGAATTCCTATACATCTTTTACCTGACCTCCCAAATGATACATAACCCCAGGATGGTTAACACCAGGAACGCAATAATGACTTAATACTGTTAGTGAATCTAGAGACCTTATTCACATATTTATTTCCCCATTAATTTTTTTTTCTGGTCCTGATTCCTACTTTGCATTTTGTTGTGACATGTTTGTGACAGTTCCCCAGTTCATATCTGTCCTTTATAACCTTGACACTTGAATTCTGGTCAGGCTCTCTTTCACATTGTGTTTGTTTGTGTGATGCATCTGTTTCAGAAATCCTGGTGAGAATCCCCCATGAGGGCTGTGCCCTTTTTGGGGGGCCTCATGTCAGGAGACATGAGATAAGGGTGACGTTAGTCTCGGTTATGTGGTGCCTGCCAGTTCTCCCATGTAAACCTAAGAGTTTTCCTTTTCAATTTGTAAGTATCTTGTGTGGAGGCACTTAGAAACCATGTAAATACCCCATTTGTCATCATACTTTCCTCGTAATTTCAACATCTATCAGTTGAGTCTCACCTGAAATGATTATTACTGTTGGAGGTGCCAAATAGTGGATTTCCGTTTCCATCATTTCTTCCATGTATATTGGAATTCCCTTGTAAGGAAAACTATCCGCTATTTATTCATTCTTCCCCATTTATTTATTCATGTAATTCTTTATATCACCATGAGTTCTATTATCATAGAAGCCCAGATTGGACACTATCATTATTTATTTTATTTCTTAAATTGTCCCAGGGTTTGTCTGGGGAGACCGTTCCAGTAGGTTTTAACATGTCCCCGTCATTGTATTGTGGTTGTTATTTTACTTTAGGATACATTTAGGTTTATGAAAAGGATGTGGAGATACTGCAGAGAGCTCCTGGATACCCTCCCCCACCTCCGCCCTGGTGTTGGTAACAGCGTACATGGCCGCGTTCCATTTGTCCCATACAGGAGCCAGCCCTGGCGCACTGCTGCTCGCTGCATGCCAGACTCTGCATTGCACGGGGCTTCCCCCAGTGCTGGCTTCTCTTCCAGGGCCCTGTATCACCTTTAGTCATCACCTCCCCTTCCCTCATCTGCGACCGTTCCTCAGATTTTCCATATTTTTGATGACCTTGATGGTTTTAAGGAGGGCTGTTTCAGGTGTTTTGTAGGGTGTCCCTCAGTCTGGATCTGGTGATTTTTCTCATGCTCACACAGGACAAAAGACTATATATAGGTCAAGGGCCCGTCTCATCACATTACGTCAAGGGCAGTAACTCTCAACATGACTTCTCACTGTTGATGTTGCCCTTGACCACCTGTCTGAAGGGGTGGGTGTTGGTTAGCTGTCTGCTGTGACGTTTCTCTTTTTTCTCCTTTCCACACTGTATTCTGGAAAAAAGCCACTATGCTCATCACGTACACAAGGGCTGGGCAGTTCAGCACCACCTCCTTGAGGGGGGAAAAAGTACATAAATTATTTGGAGTTCTTGTGTACAGATTTCTCTTTTCTCTTCCAGTTGTTAATTTATTTAATCATTTCTTGTCAGTATGGACTCATGGATATTTATTTTATATTTTGGGCTGTACTCCAGTACTAGTTTATTTAGTTCCTCAAAGTATTCTAGCTGTGGCATCAGGAGCTCTCTGTTTGCTGCTGTATCACCATGGGGTGTTTTGAGGAATTTCTTTGGGCAACCAAAGATGCTCCAAGCTCAGCTTGTGTATTTTCTGCCCAGGCCGAGAATGGGCCTGGGTTTTCTTATTAGAATGGAATTGGAAGCCAAGACTTGGATGTTAGGTGTGTTTCCTGCTCGTGGGGTGTTCTTATTTCTAGCCCCTCTCAGTGGACATCACTAGGAAATTTGTATATGTGTGCTAAGCCTGTGTGCACATACATGCACATCGCTGCTGTGTCCAGTCACCTGTATTTCTTTTAAGATAATCATGTTCATACTGCAGTCTCTGATTCTCAGCTAGTTCCACATGGTTCATTCTAGGGATTTCTTTGTTTATTTGTTTGTTCCCAGTGTACATATACAGTACTTTCAGAATAGTTAGCCATGAGAACCAACTTTACCACCTAGAGTATTATGTTTAGACCAGTTCCTTTTGTCTTTAGGCCTACAGCTTCCAGTTAAATCCCTTTTTCCAGGTCATTAACCCGGCTCCTTGCCCCATCCCCTTCATTGGGGTTATGCCGTGTGTTGATCTTCAGCCTTTTATACTGCGGTCCACCCAGACAAGGTCCAGACTGTTAAGGGTCATCTCCAAGCCAGAAAAGCTGTCTGTGCCCTAGAGAATGTTACTGAACTTTGAGCATTCAGCTGTCCCATCCTCCGGTTGGGATGTGCATCTCTCCATCATGAGTTCACTTGTCCTGCTCCCTCTTGACTGACCTCTGTCTTGCGTCTGTCTCCTCATACCCCTCCTGCTGCACGTTCTCACCACACCTCGGGCTTCAGTTTTCAGCTTCTCTCTGTTGGGCTGTCCCCCACTGCTCCCTGTAGTAGAAGCCTGACTTCAGTGACCGGGCCAGGGCAATCTTGCTGATCCTCAGTAAGGGGAAGTCCAGAGCCAGGCCATCTGGGTGGGCCCAGTGGCTTTAAGATGCCATGCCAGCTCCGTGCGCCTGCAGTTTTCTGTTCAGTCATCCTTAGCACGTGGCTTCTGCTATCAGACTTTGTACCTCATGGTTGCAGAACGGCTTCCATCATCTCATCTCAGCCCCCAGCATAGTGAGCAGGGAAAGGACAGCAGGGGCATGTGGCATCTGAGTCTCTCCTCTCCCCACCAGCCTTCAGGAGCATTCCCTGGCTTTCAACCCAGTAACTTGAGCTTTCAGCTTATTGGCTCTGACTGTGTCCACCTGGTTGGCCCTGGCTGCCAGGGAGCTTGGTTTTAAGGTAGAGGTAGCACCGCCCTCATGGAGCTTCTGGGAGAGAGGAGCTGGATGGCCTCGAGCAGTCTACCACTCGGCCTGTCTTTACAGACCACCCAGTCTAGATTTTTTAGTAGATTCCCTCCCCCACCGAAAACTCCGTTTTAGTATTTCTTTGAGAATTTGCCCCCTTGTGAACTGGGCTTTACTGTTGCCGTCACCCTCTCCTGAGGCTCTGTCTTATAATCTCAAGTGACTTATGCCTCCTTACCAACCCTCTTCCGGCCCCCACATGCAGCCACTGCCAGTCTTTCTCTTTTCCCCCGTTTCTTGGCCTTGGGCACCCCGTGGAGGAGCAGCTACAAGCTCTCACTCCCATACGGCTCCCACTCCCCCAGTCCCCTGCCGAGCCCGCCTTGGTCTCACCTGCTCATCGTCTTCCTCGTGTCTTACTGGGTGGGAGCCCTCAGTGTTTTCTGAGGTGGCATAAGGATCCAAGTGGTTTCTTCCATATGCCCAGGCCTCCGTAGCCTGATGTCTAGCACGGTTCTGAACCTGAAACAAGGCACCGTGAGTCTGTGTGTATTTCCCGGGAGCAGGTTTGCAGCGCATGGCTTATTCTCACAGAGGGCTGTGACCTCACATCGGTGATAGAGAACTGGTCTCTAAGATCTAACTTCTGGGTGAAGCCCTCTCTGGCCTCCTGGCTCCAGCCCAGGCTAACCCAGGCTCCTCCCTCTCCCTGTATCACCACCACACTTTCGTGTGTCCCTGTTCCTCCCAGCTGCACCTTCCTTCCTTTCCTCACTTGGCCACCATTGGAGACGATCGGTTCAGTCTGCCAGCTCTGAGAGTCACAGCCGCGTTGGCCTCTCTCCCCAGCGTGCATTGGCATGAACAGTGAGCTGTTGTCAACTGAACTAGAACCTGACTGTTTCTTCCTTGTTTCCGTCAGGACACTGTCAAACTGGGCGTACGAATTTGACAAGTGGGCCCCCTCTGTGGTGAAAGTGTCCTACAAGGTATGTCACTGCCTGCGGAGGTGGACGTAGGGGAGGGCAGGGTGGGATACTAAGGAATGCAGATGAGCGAGGAGGGAAGTCAGCTGGCAACATAAGTGAAGTCATGGACTAATTTGTGGGTGTGACATTGATGCAGTCCCGCAGGGATTTTGTTACTTTCACCTGAGCTTTGATTAAAACTCAGTCATGTACAATGACTTACCTAGATCAGTTCTGTGAAGTAGGAACTCGTTGTGCTTGTTGTCCTGGTGGGGAAACTGAGGCATACAGGACCTCGAGCAGCCACTTAGTGGCAGAGCCAGGTTATGCCTGGCCCCTGGGCTCCTGGGTCTAGGTCCTTCACCCTGTGCTATGAGGCTGTTTGCCCGTCACAGGGAGAAGAGTGTCTTGGCAGAAGGGACAAGCGTGTGCAGGGAAAACTTCGTACTTTTGAGGAATTAAAAGTAGTCCTGGCAGAAGTTTATGGGATCCAGTGAAGATGAGTCTGTGTGGAGTGTGAGCCCGGAGAACGCTAGGGCCCTGGTCACATGGTTCAGGAGTGTGGACCTGGCCAGATTTTGCTAATTGCAAATAGGCTGGAGCTGCCTTCAGGGAGCGATCTCAGTGGCCGGCACTCAGATGAGAGGGTTTTAGGGGGAGGCCCTGGTTTCTGGCTTGGAGGCCTGAGATGGGACCCAGGAAGAGGTTGGGAGCTGATTGGCCACTGGGACCGCTGCCAGTGGTGGTGCAGGCAGCAAGCCCCCCAGCGGCCTGGGCTTCCAACAGGCCAAGCCTTTCTTTGATCCCTGCAGTTGGCACTCAGCATGTTGGGGTTGAAGGACAGGATCCAGCAGCCTCACCCAGCTCTCTTCCCTTGTCAGGGAGCTGCGGCCTGGTCCCCGGGAGGCTGACGTGTGCATGTCGTGTCTCTTTCACAGGGCTCTCCAGCAGCCAGGCGGGCTTTTGTGCCGCAACTCCGGAGTGGCAAGTTCAACGTCTTGCTAACAACGTACGAGTACATCATTAAAGACAAGCACATCCTTGCAAAGGTAGTGTGTCCCCATGTAAAAGACCAGACCCAGGTACTCAGTACTGTCAGGGAGCGTGTGATCTCGTCTGATCTAGGATCGTTGCGTGTGTGTCACACTTACCATCTTCTTAAAGCCCCTTGCAAGTAATTTTTCACTGATTCCCCTACACATGTGTATAATGACAGCTGCTGTGTGTGTGTGTGTGTGTGTGAGAGAGAGAGAGAGAGAGAGAGAGAGAGAGAGAGAAGGGTCCTGGTCAAAGTGACCTTGGATTTGCCTCTCTGTTCCCAGGTTGGCCTGGGGTTAGGTCCAGAGGCAGTGTTGTCTGCACAGCACATGAGCTAGCCTGTCACGGGGCTTTTGCCCAAAGACCCTAGTCGCACAAGATGCCTCCTGACCTGCCTGCCTGCCTACAGTGTCCCTGTTAGGGTCATGGAGAAGCCAGTCTTACCTTTACCTGTCTCTAGTGGCCTTTGCCCTCTCTCCCCGCCAGCACAGCCATGTGAAACAACCCATGATGCTCTCTGAGGCCCTGCGTGGCCCACCAGCCTTGGGCTGCTAGGCTGGCATATTCAGCAGCAGCTGTGCAGGTCTCTTAGCTGACGTAGTTGTGAAGGCAGCTCTAGTTAGGCCATAGTGAATTCCTGAGAACATCCTGTGACCCAGATGTAAAACAGACACTGTCCCTTGCCTGCAAAAAGATTGTTTCCTGGTTTGAAGAGGGATCGAGGCTGAAGATGAGGCATCTGATGATGCATTTCATCAATAACCCATCCAATGGAGTGAAGTAGAAGGCAGAGCAGGGATGGAAGAGAAGTTTGCAAGTAACCGCGCCTCTGGCGCTCGGAGTGATACTGGGCACTTGATAGGCATCTTCAAAGCCCAGAGAACAGATGCCCAGCGTGCCTGTCACCCACTGACTCAGTACAAAGCCATCTGTGTTTATTTGACAGTAGCTTTAATTAGCAAACACCCTGCAATGGGGATTTCTCGTGAGAGAAAGCTGCTGGGCCCCTCCCCCCGCCAGATCTGCCTCTGCCATGGGCTGCCTCACTCAGGCTTATGGTGGCCCCAGGAGGCTAAAGCACAGGGCGACCACGCACGGCTAGAATCGACATCCAGCCCATACCCGTCGGGGGTGTGGCCACCGACAGGCCCTCTGGTGCAGCCCCAACCCCCCAGGCTCACGCTCTCTGCCTGCTGTGCCGCTGTTACCTTTAGAGGCACAGCCTGCTGAATGGAAAGTGCACTCGTTACCACCCACATCCCCTGTAGACGCACCCCCTGCCCCCCAGTGGGGCCCTTCTAATCAGTAAGGGAGGGTGTGTCTGGGGATTTTCCTGTGCCACATACTCACATACATAATTTAGCGAGGAGCCAGAGTCCATCACTGCACCTTGGCTTTGTTCATCCAACAGCAGGTCACAGGCATGAGTCTCCCTGTCTGTCCTCACCCCATGCTTTATAGAGGCATGTTGTGTGGCTGTCTCCCAGGGAGCTGATCCCTTGTTGGGACACTGGCATGCCCACATTCTCTCCCTCGATGGGCTCTGGTGCCTGGAGCCCTCTTGCTAATGGCTGTGAGAGTGGTGCTCTGCCGAGGATGCCCCGCAGCCTCTCTGCCTCTCAACGCCTGCTCTCGGGCCCGCAGATCCGATGGAAGTACATGATCGTGGATGAAGGCCACCGCATGAAGAACCACCACTGCAAGCTGACGCAGGTCCTCAACACGCACTACGTGGCCCCCCGCCGCCTGCTGCTGACAGGCACGCCGCTGCAGAACAAGCTCCCTGAGCTCTGGGCACTCCTCAACTTTCTGCTGCCCACCATCTTCAAGAGCTGTAGCACCTTTGAACAGTGGTTCAATGCGCCTTTTGCCATGACCGGAGAAAAGGTGGGTGTGTGGGTCTGGCCTAGTGTTGGCAGGGTGGGGCAGAGGACCCTGAGGCTGGAGGAGCCAAGAGGGCCCCAGAGAAGAGCAGTGATTGAGAGGGTGAACTCTGGGGAGACACTTGGGGCTTCCCTGACCCTGCGCCCCAGACACAGAGAGGGTGCACTGAGGACTATGGCTTCTGAGGCAGCTGTGGGGCCAGAACGAGGGCGTCCAGGCACAGCTTGGGGGGCCGAGGGGCTTGTTGTCCCTTTGAGTTTAGGTTTTACCCTAAGGGTAGAAGGAAGCTCACAAGTTTTCGGTCATAGGAGCAACGTGGTCAGATCCTGGGTGTCTTGTTTTTATAGAGCTCTGTGGCCAGTGTATCTCAAGGTCTGTATGGCTGTGGGTGGCATTGTGAGTCTGAAAACCAGACTGTGGCGTGCGGGCTGTCGGAGGCGTCTTCACCGCTTGGTGAACTCTCCAAGCTGGCTCCAGAGAGAGCCGCCGAGCTGCTGGGGTTTGAGCTGTGTTGGTGGGCCAGCTGCATCTTCCGTTGAAGGCAGTTAAGCCACCAGAGCCTGATGACTAAGGAAGAAGGGACAGCTGCAGAGGGTAGTGAGGCTTGTCACTGCCCACTAGTTCCTGATGATGAGGTTTTCCTTAGGTGCAGGACAGCTGGGGCCACCCATCACGTGCGTGGCGGGCGGGGGGCGGGCTCTGCCAGCATCATCTACGAGGTGTCCCGTCCTAGGCACCTGCTTCGGCTGAAGCCCTTATGAGGGAGAAACAAGCCTTTCCAAAAGTCCCAGGACCCCCAGCCAAGAGCTGAGGAGCAGATGCTCTAGTTTCATTTATTTTTAAGTTGAGCAAAAATTTTGCAGGGAGATTTTTTTAGAGGATCCACACAAGAAAAATTCAGGTGTCATCCTGTTTTTCACTTTGTAAAAAATCTTTAAAAATATAACGTTTTATCAGTGTAGCAGTCGCCCCGGGAAAGCAGTATTTCCCGCCCCATCCCATTCCAGCTGAAATGAGAGTGGATGTGGGGCTCCCAGAGACGGGGCCTCCATGAGGATCATCTCATTTACATCAAATACTTTATGAATGTGGCCCCCATGGGCCACTTAGTTTTCATTTGGATGTGCTGGCGGGCTTCCAAGCACTTGAGTTTGTATTACTTTGGGGAAGAAACACAGTATGCTGCTGTGTTCCTCTGCATGAGGCCTACGGAAACGTAGTGCCCTGGGGCCTTTGGTTCCTCTTCCTGGCTTTTCTAGGGAAGGACTCAGGTATTTGCTATTTTCCAAAGGAATAGAGTGCCTTGCAAAGCCCCGTAAAGCAGGAGGCAGTTTGAAAAGGGGGGCCTAGCGTGCAGGGCAACTCCAGATGACCCTGTATACCCCTCCTCATGCCGGGGCCCCTGCTTTGGAAGTAACGCTTGGTTTTCATGTGTCTTGGCACGTCAGGTGGACCTGAACGAGGAAGAGACCATTCTCATCATTCGTCGTCTCCACAAAGTGTTAAGGCCCTTCCTGCTCCGGCGGCTCAAGAAAGAGGTTGAGGCTCAGTTGCCTGAGAAGGTAACCTGAGGGTTTTATGTACAAGAAACCACAATGCAGCATCGTGCAGGGCTCCCTCAGGCTGGGCCTGCTCAGGTGGCCTTGGCATTCTGGAGTCAGTCCGTCCTGAGGATAGCCACTCACCGCCTCTGGATCACTGAAGGGGAAGGCAGGGGTATTAGGCTCGAGTGCAGAAGCCCACCTGCTCTCCATAGGCCAGACGCCTGGGTGGGTCCTGCCCGACCACATCACGGGAGCTTGGAGGCCACGGGCTCTGAGGGTTGAGCTGCTCCCCACTGTGCGATGTCCCTGAATTCTTGCTCAGAGGAAGAGCACCACAGTGGCCGTCAGGGCCCCCTCTCTCTCCCCCGGCAAGGCTGGGGGTTCCTGGCCATAGTCACCCCTTCAGCCACACTTACCCTTTGCTTTCTGGCCAGCTGTGGAGAGGCCTTCACGAGGTGGCCAAGTGTGCTTCCAACAGAGAGGGAGCCCTTCGCTTCCCCAGAAGGCCAGGGCGGGCCCTCATTAGGCTGCTGTGGGCCGCATGCCCATCTCCCTACTGCCCAGGTGGCTGTGGAGCCATCACTGGTCAGCCCTGGAGCTGGAATCAGGCTTGTCCCTGCCGGAACCTTGAGCACTGAGAGCGGGAAAGGGAGGGAGGGACGCAGATGCTGTAGGGGTAAGAGCAGCCCGGGACTCCCCCTGCAAGTCTCTCTGCCCTGGTGTATCTACCGCAGTCTCTGGCTTCCCTTGTGCCCCCAGCTGTTGGGGCTCTTCACTGTGACCCCCCTAGGTACCTAGATCAAAACATACATCCCAGGGCCCAGAGTGCTGCCAAGAGACCGGAGGGCCCAGGTTGGGGAGTAGGCTTAGGGCCCGTGGGCCCTCACTGACGGTGCTGTGTGCCCCTCGCAGGTGGAGTACGTCATCAAGTGCGACATGTCTGCCCTGCAGCGTGTGCTGTACCGGCACATGCAGGCCAAGGGTGTGCTGCTGACCGATGGCTCCGAGAAGGACAAGAAGGTTGGCCTGGGCCCCACTTCCCTCCCCACCTCGGTGTTGAAAGCGGGTGGGTCCGGGGCAGCTGGGTGGGTAGGGCCTGAGCACACTAACCACGGGGCCTTCCACCTCCTCGGAGCTTATTGCCATGGTCAAGGCCCCCTCTGGTGGTGATCTCCAGGGCATTGCAGAGCTGTTGCTTAAGTCGTAGCTGGTGTGAACAGGCTCGGTCAGTAATTCTGTGGGAGCAGAGGCTCATGGCCCGTTGCTGGGGCACGCTTAGTTCTCCAAGACCCTCCCAAGTCAGCTGCTGTTTTGTGTCTTTAGTTATGAAACATTAGCCCCACAGGTGTGACCCTCGGCAGCGTGGGGTCCAGCGCTAAAGCCTGCAGAGTTGGACCGTCCTAGTAAACCCCCCCTTCCCAGCTGGGAAAAAGCTGCCTCAGCAGCAATGGCCACCTAATCCCTTCACCCTGTTAGCAAGTGACGTTGAAGGGGAGGAGTGTTACAGTGCAGGGGACTGGGGGCTGGGCAGGCTGCTGCCGTCGGGGATCTCCTGGAGGTCCCGGTGCCCGCCTCCCCCAGCGCCCCTCACCAGAACTGAAATATCCCCCCAGGGCTCTTGGTTCTGCACCCAAGCTCAAGCTTGGCCCTGCCACCCCATTTCCTCCTCTAGACGTTTTATTTAGGCCCTTTCTCACTTGAGCTGTGGCAGCAGCGTGTTTCCTGGTTTACTTCTGTCCCACAACACCCATTCACCCTGAATCCCTCCTCCACCCCGGAGCCAGAGGACTTCCTGAGTCAGGCCCGTCTGGCCGCAGCCCCCCAGGGACTGGCTCTAACACCCAGAATGAAGCTGGTCTCGAATAGCATTTGTGATTCAGCCTCAGCTCTGTCAGTTTCATTGCCCTTCCACCCCTCCAGCGTGCCGGGCAACCTCTGCTACCCCGAGAGCTGGTTTCAAGCTTCTGAGCCCCTGTAGGAGCCAGCCCCTCACTTCTGATTTCTCTGCCATAAGCCATACCTGCCCCTAAAGCTCCTCCTTCCACTGTCCCCTCTCCACCATCCATCCCACACCACCTGGGACAAGACCCAATTTATGAGACTCTCTTCTTCCTCTGCAGGGCAAAGGTGGCACCAAAACCCTGATGAACACCATCATGCAGCTGCGGAAGATCTGTAACCACCCGTACATGTTTCAGCACATCGAGGTGAGCCCTCCCCAACCCTGGCCCTGCCCTGAGTGCCCATCTCTGGGGACAGTGAGCCCAGTTGAACCCCTAGGCAGAGCTAGATTGCTTCTCCCTGGCAACTTTTAAAAAAAAAGTAGTTTATAATATTTTGAATAGGCAGTGCCTGTAGATTTGTCTCTGTTGATTTTCATTTTGCAAGTGCTTATTGGAAAGAATCCAAACAGTGTAAGAAAATGAGTGATAGAAACAGAAGCCCCTGAAACCCACCCTCTGATAACCACGGAGAATTAGGAAACTTCTTTGGGCTGTTTTCCTCCTGGCGGGGTCACATTATGTTCACTGACACACAAGCATTTCCTACTCGGTGACATTTGGTGCCATCCTGGGTCATTGCATTGACTCAGAGCAGCTTTTCTACTCATGAAGTCTCTGGGTCATAACCGTTTGGGACACTGTACCCTTGGAGAATTTGGATTCCTGCTTCTGAAAAGCACGCAGGTGTTCACGTGTTTTGGCACAGTGCCTCAGGGTTGTTGGAATGCCCCTCGTGCCGCGGGGTTCCATCGCAGTGCTCCCGGGGTGGTCTCCGGCACACGATGCGCCAGTGCGGCCATTTTCGTGGTTAAGGATGTTAAATCATGACTTCCTTTCCTTCATTGGAAGAACATGAGGGAACGGACATGGTGGGATAGAAAAGTTTGCCATCTGTGTGTGGCCTTGGAGCCACTGTGGGCAGTCCCTGAGCACTGGCGGGAAGGGTGAGGGGTGTGGGGCTGGGCTGCCTGTTTCTGCCCCCGCTCCCTCCCTACCGCATCCCCCACACCGAATTATCTCTCATTCCATTGCAGGAGTCCTTTTCCGAGCACCTGGGGTTTACCGGCGGCATTGTCCAAGGGTGAGCAGCTTCCCAGCGGGATGGGGTGGGCAGGCGGGCCACGAGGTGGTGTTTCTCACATTTTGTTGGCTTTATTGCTATTGTTACATTGGTCCAATTTCAAAGGCACTATACTCAATGGCAGAAAATACAGAAAATACAGGCAAACTCAAAGAAGTAAATAAGAATCGTCCACATGTTGAGAGTTACCCACCATTAATCCCAAGAAGCAGAATTTCTAGGCTGACCTGCCTTCCAGGCCCCACTTCGCCACCTCCCTCCATGCCCTGTGGACCCCGACAGCCTTCCTAACCACTCGGAGCCTCAGCTCGAGGTGCTCTGTACAGTGTGCTGCCCGCTTTGCCACAGCTGTGGTTTTCTCTAGCGTCGTTTGTAAGGTACAGCCCAGGCTTTGGTGAGGCCCTGGTGTTGGGCATGGAAGCTGCCTCTGGATTTCACCATTGCCAACGGCCTTGCTAAAAGCATTGTCCTAGCTAAAGCCGCTGTCACTTTTCTGGGATACTAAGTCACTTGTAAGGGCAGAGTCACCATGTCAAAGAGCATAAAGGTCTTTTGAGGTGTACTTTTTATTCCACGTTGCATAATGGTGTCCCACAGATGTGGGTTTGAGCCCTGGCTGGGGCATCGCGGCAGCCATGTTGAACTGTCCCCTCAGCCTCAGTTTCCACATCTATAAACTGGGGTTTGTAGGCCAGAGTGACTGCGAGGAGCTACGGTGACCCTTAGTCCTGCCTGTGGCTCGGGATGGGCGCTCTGTCATGTGAGCTGGTGCTCCTGGCTCTTTAACAAAATGGAGACGTTGTAGCATAGCTATTAATAGCATCTCTTCTCACTCTTGCAAGTACGTGGTCACCCTTGGCCAATGATGGCCTGAGTTTCAGTTGGGTTGAAATGTCTATGCTAAATCTTCATGGGGTATGGCAGTCTGCCCAGGGAGCCACTTCTGTGCCCTTGACCCTGATGACCAGCGCACGTAGGCTGGTTCAGGTCAGCCTGGAGATGGGAACGTGCCCCCTCCTTTGCCCACTTGGAAGGTACCATTGTTAACATTGTGTATCTTTCCCTCCTTCTTCCACTGACCAGGCTGGACCTGTACCGAGCCTCAGGGAAATTTGAACTCCTTGATAGAATTTTGCCCAAACTTCGTGCCACCAACCATAAAGTGCTGCTTTTCTGTCAGATGACCTCCCTCATGACGATCATGGAAGATTATTTTGCATATCGTGGCTTTAAATACCTCAGGCTCGATGGTGAGTATGACCGAGAGAGATAATTTATTAAGGGGGCTCATTACCCACACCTCCCAAAGCTCCTGGCCAGCATGCCCTCCCTTACAAGGCAGGGCAAGGCCCAGGGACTCTAAGAGTATGTACTGGTGGGAGTGAGTGTAGCGGCTGGCTCAATTTAACAGGACTCTGGAAGCATTGTGGCTGGATCCAGAGCCAGTGGCCTGGGAGGGTGGCTGGGTCTTGGCATCACAATATTGGATCCAATGGTTAAGGGGTACCTGGCAGTCCTGTTTTGGTTGGAAGTGACAAATTCACATCCTGCATGCTTAGGGAAAAAAGCCGTGATAGACTCACATAACTGAACCCCAAATGTTACCTTGCTTTAGGCACAGCTGAATCCAGATTTCCAGGTTATATCAGAGGGGGTTTTCTGGAGCTTCTTGATCCTTTGTCCTCAGGCATCCTCTCCAGGCTTCCCTTCCACCTGCTCCGTGTCCCGAACAGCGAGACAGCCCGTCACTTCCCCAGAAGGCCATGGCCGGTCCTCATTAGGCTGCTGTGGCCGCATGCCCATCTCTCCACTGCCCAGGTGGCTGTGGAGCTGGAGTCAGGCTTGTCCCTGCCAGAGCCTTGAGCACTGACAGTGGGGGAGAGAGAGAGGACAGCAGATGCTGTAGGGGTAGGAGCAGCGGGAACCCCTAGGGAGAGCAGTTGGCTGTGACCGCATTGTCTCATAAAAAGTCCTGCATTCCTGCCTTCCCCCCTGCCCCAGCATGGGAGCCTGGGTCAGGAGTGAGCTGAGTGAGGTGCTGGCAGTATGCAGGACATGTTTTATGACCTGTCGGCTCTCCGGGGGAGGGTGCAGCTCTAGAGAGAGTTCCTTTATACTGTCAGATTGTGGGAGTGAACAGGGCCATGAGAAAAATGAACTTGGGAGGCGCTGGGGTAAACACAGTTAAGCAGCTTTCTTCATTCCCCACACAACTTCTCAGAAACTTCAAGCACAGTGCCAAGTCCATTTCCGCGGCTCGATGCCCCTGCTTTGTCTTTCCCTGTGCGTCTTGTTGAAGAGTGGTTTCACAGACCACAGACCTGCGGTTGCTGGGCTGATTGTCGGTTTCTGCCCTCCCTGCTTCCGCCTAGAACTGCCCTGAATCTGGCCTTTCTCAGTCTATTCTTGGAATTCTCTCCAGGGCAACCTTTAGGAATACAAATCTGGTCATATGTCTCACCATGCCCCTCCTTCTCTGTCTTGGCCTTTCCAGCTGCTTCTCCATCTCCTGGGAGGGCCAGCGGAACCCCCCTGGGACTGGCCATATTTGGAGAGTGTATTCCCACCCACCCTGGTGCCCATCCACCTGCTCCCTTTTCCCCTTTCTTCCACGGAAAGAGTCCTCTCTGTAAGAATGAGGACTTTGTGGGTCAGGCACGGTTCATCCCTAGGACCTCTCATGGTCACTGCCACACAGGTAGAAACTCTGGTAAAGAGTGGAAGAAGGGTGGGGACTCAGTGACACATTGTAAAAAATGGAACCTTCCATCAGAGTAGTAAGAGCAAGGGCACAGGCTTAGCATCTGGGAATGTGGCCCCTCCTTCTGGGCCTGTTGCTGCCCCATTTGAGGCATCAGGCCATCTCCGATCTGTTGTGGCTATGGGTACATCTGGACCCCAGGCTCTAGTGGACAGCGGGCCTTTGCAGTGTTCACCGGGGCAGGTAGGTGAGTGGCAGGAAGTGTTTAATTTTTGTTTCATCACCAAAAATGACTCCTGATTTGCCAAGGCACCTCTGCTCTGAGCTGGCAGCAATCTGAGGAGCTTGGATGCCTCTCTGACATTCATCATGCTGAGGATCTTGTCCTAGGCCATCACCTGAGAGTCCCTATAATCCTGAGGAGGGGAAGCCTGTCCTGCCCAAAGGGAAAAAGCCCCTGGTATAAGGCACCTGTATGCTTGCCTGTGGGAGATTCTCTGTGAACCAAGAAATTCCCTTGCAGTAGAGTTGAAGGCAGGCTCTTGGCCCTTGGTCAGCTGCTCATTCCCACATTTGGGGGCTGCAGTGTTACCGACACTGGCTGGGTGGGCAGGGGCTGGTGGTAACAGCAGCACTGTCTGGGCAGCAGCCCTTGTTGCCTGGATATTACCTGGGCTCCAGCCCCCACCTGGTCTGGTTCTTGCAGCATCGCCATTTTATATGGAGGAGGCACAGCCATCCCCTTAGTCTCATCTTCTGGGGCGGGGAGAGTGGCATTCAGTAGTGCCACTGTAAATCCGAGTCACTAACTGCAGTTCGGGACCATGAGTTGAGCTAGTGTGGCCATGGCTCAAGGGGTCCCCGCTGGCCGTGTGTGAGTGTGATCTCTGGTTTCCAAAGCAGGCGTTTCCCCCCCACCCCCTACCCCCCCAACCCCAGTCACCCCACTAACCCTGTTCTCGTACCCGGCAGGAACCACAAAAGCAGAGGATCGGGGCATGCTGCTGAAAACCTTCAATGAGCCCGGCTCCGAGTACTTCATCTTCCTGCTCAGCACCCGGGCCGGCGGGCTCGGCCTGAACCTCCAGTCGGCTGACACTGTGATCATTTTTGACAGTGACTGGAACCCCCACCAGGTAAAAACCGCTGGCACGCTGTGGGGAGAGGCTTGAGGCCTCAGGGCAACCCTGCCCACCATTGTGAGTGCTTCTGGCCTCCTCGACACCTCCCAGGCCCTGGAGCAGCAGCACCTGCGGCTCCTGAGGCCTCTGGAGAAAAGCCCAGAGAGTACTCTTTCCATCTCTTTCTCAAACCGAAAGTAGATTTTTGTTCGGATTATGACAGAAATATATTCCATTGTTAATATATATTAAAAAATCTTGGAATTAAGCAAACATGGAAAGAAAGTGGAAAAGACCTCAATCCTATCAGCTGGCGCTAATTGTTGCTATTTTTTAAAATTGATTTTTAGAGAAAGAGAGAAACATGGATTTGTTGTTCAATTTATTTATGCACTCATTGGTTTTTCTTGTATGTGTCCTGACCGGGGATTGAACCTGCAACCTTGACACATCAGGACAACACTCTTAACCAACTGAGCTACCCAGCCAGGGCCCTAATCTTAGCTGTGTTAGTGATGTGAATCCTCCTAGGCTGTGTTCCACGCGACCACTCATACACTTGTGCCTTATAAAACAACACTTGATGTATATTTTACTTACTTTATGTACTGCTGCTCTGCTTCTTACCCATATACCGTCCATGGGGGTACATGCCAGTAGGTATAAGGGTATGGTATTTTGTAGATAGAAAAGTTTTAAAGCACTTAACTTTTTCCTATATTTTGTTATAAAAGTAGCGTTTTAAAAATGCAGATATCAGTAACTCAAAGTAACGCAGACTTTATTTTTCTCTTTCCCCACCAATCCCACTGTTCTCTGGGCGTGCGCCAGCATCTAATCTAGCTGTGTGTTCTGGTTTTCACAAAAATACAGTGCGTTCCAGGACACGTCCCTTCCCTTTAGCAGCTGATGTGTTTCGCCTGTGTGAGCCCACTGGGTCCTGGCCCAGCCATTAATCTGCTGCTGGCTGTCCCCGCACATGGTGGCCCTGAGACTTTTACCTCAGGCTCCAGTCCTCAGGTGTCTGGGTTTCTGTTTCTTGGTGTGCCCAGTAGCCCCGCTCAGGGAGCCCTGTGACTCCTGCCTCAGTGCGCCAGCTAGGTCATCCCTGAGAGGCAGGACTGCTGAGTCGACGGGTTTGTCCCCTTCACGATATGGTTGCTTGTGCCCAGGTGGCCTCCAGAAGGCCCCCTCAGTTTCTCCCACCATTGGGATGTGAGTACGGCCTTGCCAGCCTGGCAGCCCCCATTATCAGCATGTAAATGATGGCCCTTTTGATGGAAGAGTGCCCTTAGTGTTCGCTGCTGTCCTTCCTGATGTCAGCTTGGAGTAGTTCCCGCCTGGACCTTGATGACTGGCCAGTTTCCCAAGAGGTGGTTGGGGTGTACCTCTCCTGTCAGCAGACAGTAGGCAGAGGCTCCTGGGGAGCCCTGACCTCCCTCTGTCACACTGGGAGGCATTCGAAGCCACTGAACTCACTGCAGGGCTTGGAAGCTGTCATCCTGTGTGGGCACTGCCAGGAAGCATGCTGGCCAAGCCAGGGGGCTGAGCAGTGGACACAGGGCATTCCTGTCTCCAACCGGGTATGGTCTCTGCTGCTTCCATTGGGTGCTCATTTCAAGTTCAGCCCCACAGAGCACCAGTCTTCTAGCACAGGATTTCGTGGGAGCCCTCCTGGTTCTGTGCTGGGGGTGATGACACAAACAGCATTGGCAGTCATGGCTGTCACTTTATCGGAGCTTGCTCCACACCAGGCACTGGGCTGAGCACCCGATGCTCATTCTCTCCTCCCATGCACTCAGTAGCCAGGAGAGGGGCTCTTGTCAACAGAGTGAGTCCTGAGGGTCAGAACATTTGGGCTCGGGCCTGATTGCACAGCAAGGGACTGCCAGGGTCCACAGCCAACAGCGGCGTCGCCAACATGCTGGCCAGCTTTGCCCCATCCTGTAAATGGTGCCCTTAGCACGCTACAGCCACACTGAGTGCAGGGCCTCCTGGGGTAGGCTGGCGGACCCATGCAGCTGTTAAAGGAGCTGCTTGGGAATATAACCACTCCAGAGGTTGTCCTCCAGAACTGTGCTATCTTCTGGAATATTTCTCAAATGTCACTAACGCAGAAAGTGACACTTCTGCAGGAACTCAGGATGAAATCGTCCTGGCACAAGCTCCACATCTGCCCCTGAACTCTGGGCCATGCAGCTGCTGATTGGGGCTGACAGAATGGCCAGGCAAGGAGCAGGCACAGAATAATGAGAAGGTCCCTGCCTCTCCTGATGGCTTCACCAGGTCAACTGCCCCTTATAACTCTAAAGAGCTTGCTTGGGACTGACCAGTGTCTCTTCCCCAGGACCTGCAAGCGCAGGACCGAGCCCACCGCATTGGTCAGCAAAACGAGGTGCGCGTGCTCCGCCTCTGCACGGTCAACAGTGTGGAGGAGAAGATTCTGGCCGCAGCCAAGTACAAGCTCAATGTTGACCAGAAGGTGATCCAGGCTGGCATGTTTGACCAGAAGTCCTCCAGCCACGAGAGGCGCGCCTTCCTGCAGGCCATCCTGGAGCACGAGGAGCAGGACGAGGTGAGGGCAGCGCCGGCCCCGACCCCCTCCCCAGCGTGAGTGGTGAACGCATGAGCGGCTTTCATTTTTGTTTTTTTACCTTTTTTGCACTCTTATTTTTTTTGCATCCCTTTGGAGTAAAGGGAGTGTGGGCTGAAAGGAAAGAGGATGAGTACTTGCTTTTTCTTTGAAGTGGTTTTTTTTTCTAAACTGCTGGTGAAAGACGCCGGATTGACAGCCCTGGAGACTGAAGTCCTCTATTTATCCACAGAGCAGACACTGCAGCACGGGCAGCGGCAGTGCCAGCTTCGCCCACACTGCCCCTCCGCCAGCGGGCGTCAACCCCGACTTGGAGGAGCCACCTCTAAAGGTGAGAGGGGTAGTTCAGTCTCCATGCCCATTCAATCCTCGGCTTCTCGGCTGAGACGGCCAGCAAGAGCCCTGATCCCACGGAGCGTGCGTGTGCGTGTGCGTGTGTGCCTCTCGCTGCCGTGTGGGTCCCCATCCACCGCAGCCGGACTGGGACCACCAGCTCATTTCCCATGGACGCCGCCGCTTGCCTCCGAGCCCGGCCGCCGCCCACCCTGGCCTCTCCGCCCTCACACTAATCATGTAAAATCTTGTAGGAAGAAGACGAAGTGCCCGATGACGAGACTGTGAATCAGATGATTGCTCGGCACGAAGAGGAGTTTGACCTGTTCATGGTAAGCACCACAGGCCGCCTTACAGGTGGCGTTTCCACCTTGCACACCTTCAGGGAGCTTGGTTTGCCACCCACAGGAAGTGGGGAGCCTGGAGGGGTTTCCATGCCCCACCCTGATGACCTCAAACAGTAAAAAGTCTCAGTGTCAGCAGTGTCCCTGGCGGCTAATGGAGCCAGGGGTGGCACCCCAGTGCCTCCTTACTGACCTATCTTCCATGTCCTAGGCAAGTCGGAGGGACTAGTGGGACACAGACCCAATGCTCTTCTTGTCTGTGACTCTCAGTCCCCAAGTGCCTGTTCTGAGTTTGTTATTCTTGAGGCTCCCTTTCAGATGGTTGGCAAGGACCTTGGTCCCTGATACCTCTTGCTCCCGGGTGAGAAGCATGGAATTAGATGGGGCTCTTGGCCCTGGCAGGCATTGCGCCCCCCCGACAAAGCTATCCCTTGAAGCTGTCACACATCTATGACCTTCCCATCCTTTCCACTTCTCTCTGCCTCTAAAGCAGAGCCTGTAGCCGGAGCCAGAGGCAGGAGCCAGGCCGCCTTGGCCATTGCAATACTCAGATCTGTTGTTCAGCTACCATGGCGGTGTTGGTCCTGGAGGCAAAGAAGCAGCCCCTTGTCAGCATGCCCCCTTGAATGTCCCGCTGGCTGTCCCTGTGCTGACGCTTCTCTCTCTTGGTTTCCACCCTCCCCTCGCTCCCCAGCGCATGGACCTGGACCGCAGGCGTGAGGAAGCCCGCAACCCCAAGCGGAAGCCTCGTCTGATGGAGGAGGATGAGCTCCCCTCGTGGATCATCAAGGACGACGCTGAGGTGGAACGGCTGACCTGCGAGGAGGAAGAGGAGAAGATGTTTGGCCGTGGCTCCCGCCACCGCAAGGAGGTGGACTACAGCGACTCGCTGACCGAGAAGCAGTGGCTCAAGGTACATGCCAGAGAGGGCCAGAGAGGGGCATGGCTAGGGGAGTAGAGACTCAGCCGCTGTGACTTGGCCTTTGTCCGAAACCTGAGCAGGTTCCTTTCAGCCTTTCTTGGTTTTCATCTATGACTGCAATACTTCTAACATAGGGTCCGGTTTATTCAGTTCCTCCTGACCAAGAAGCAGGAAGGAACACCAGTGCCATCCCCAAGCAACTCAAAACTCACTGCTGGGTGTAAGTGGCATTTTCAGGTGTCAGTGTGCACCTCTTCGTGAGGCTAAAGCAAAACATTGCCAGTCACAGAATGATGCGTGTCTCCTGGGTGTCACTCCACGGGAAACACAGCGAGAGATTAGTGAGCATCCAGTCGCCTTGTGAGGTGGTCGGGGGTGCTGACAGGGGCGGGCAGTCCCACGTCGGACACATCACCCGCACCCCCCGCCAACACAGCACCTCTAAGACCTGGACTCCGGGCGAGGCTGGGAGGAGAGAGCGAGCTGCTCATGAGACTGGCAGCCACAGCTGCTCGCAGAGGTGGCACGAGCATCCCTTTTCAGCGAGCAGCATCCAGCCCTTGGAGCTGCAGCTGCAGAACGCTGAGTCAGGGCCCCAGCCCCGGGCCCACTGCATCTACACTGGGGTTAAGGTAATAAATCAGACCGCTCCCCATATTCGGAGGCTCTGATGGCAGAGGTGGTGATTAAAAATCCAACCTGGAAGTTGCTTCATAAAAATGCCTCTGAAGGAACACTTTCCAGAAGGTAGATGGTGGCTTTTGCTGCACCCAGCTGAGTGCCACGGCCCAGAATAAGAGGTGTTACCTCTAGTCATACACCCGAGAGTTTCCCTGGATTAACTGTGACCTGGTTTCTGCCTGGAAGCTCAGACGACCCCAGACTTGCGAACTCGCCCACTGAGCTGTGCATGAGAGAGGCCTTTGAAACATGCCACGGAACCAGGCGAACCTTCATGTGGGGTGGGCGGGGTTCCTGTTTTCTGACCCAGACCTCCAGCGCCAATAAGAATACCCATGACTGGGGAGCTTGGGCCCAATTACAAATCCTGTAACAGCCTCTGTGGACCATCACCACATTTTTGCAAAGGCAGTTGGTGCCTTTTGCCCATATGCTTGTAATGTTTTGTATATATTTCTCTTTTTTTTTTTTTTTTTGAGGTATAATTTACATAATGTATAACTTGCCCCCTTAAGATGTAAAAGTCCATGGTTTTCACTCTACTTACAGTCATGTAGTTTTCATCACAAATCAATTTTAGAATATCCTCATCATCCCCCCAAAAAAGCCCTTTCCTCTATAACTATCTTTCCCTTCCTTTATTCCGCTGGCCCTTGACAGTCACCCTGTTCTGGACATTTTGTATAAACTGAATCTTGCAACATGCGATCTGTTGGTATCTGGCTTTTTTAACTAGGCAAAATATTTTCATGGTTTATCCATGATGTAGCACATATTTCTCTTCAAGACTGAATATTTTATTTTATTTTATTTTATTGAATGGATATACCACGTTTTGTTTATCCATTCATCAGTTGATGGACACTTGGGTTGTTTCCACATTTTGGCTCTTGTGAGTAATGCTGCTGTGAACATTTGCACAAGCTTTTGTGAAGATGAATGTTTTGATTTCTCTCAGGTACATAGCTAGAAGTGGAATTGCTAAATCAGATGGTAATTCTATGTTTAACCCTTTGAGGAACTGCCAAACTGTTTTCCAGAGCAGCTGTACCATTTTACATTCTCACCAGCAGAATATGAGAGAATTTCTGCATGTCCTTGTTAATACTTACGTCTTTTTTATTTTTGCCATTCTAATGTTATAAAGTAGTATCTCTTTGTGGTTTTGAATTCGATTTCCCTGGTGGCTAATGGCATTGAGCATCTTTTCTTATGCTTATCGGCCACTTGTATATCTTTTATACAAGTCTCTTATCAGATGTGTGATTTGCAAATACTTTCTCCCTTTCTGTTAGTTATCTTTATGTTGTCCTTTGGAGCACAGAAGTATTTAATTTCTATGAAGTCTAGTTTATCTGTTTTCCTCTTATTGCTTGCCCTTTGGTATCATGTCTGAGAATCAGTCCATCACCAAATGCAAGATCACGAAAATTTATCCCTATATTTTCTTTCAATAATTTTAGAGTTTCAGCTTTTACATTTACATCCATGATCCTCTTTAAGTTCATTTTTTTATATGGTAATAAGTCAGGGTCCACCTTCCCTTGTTTATATGTGGCTATCTAGTTGTCTGATGCTGTATGTGCCAAAATTCTTCAGAACGTTTCCTGACCCTTGCCTTGCTGGCCATGGGACCAGAGATCCTGGTATCAGGTAGTGCTAAGGCTGCTGTAACAAGTATCACAAACTTGGTAGCTTAAAATAACAGTAATTCATTCTGCCACAGCTCCAAAGGGCTAGGAGTCTAAAATCCAGGTGTCAGCCGGGCCCTGATTCCTCCGAAGGCTCTAGGGAAAGATCCTTCTTTGCCTCTTTCAGCTCGTGTTGGTCCTGTCGTTCCTTGGCTTGTGGCCATATCACTCGACTCTTTGCCTCCACCTTTACATGGCCTCTCCCCTGTGTGTCTCTGTGTGGCCTTTTCTGTCTCCCCTAAGGTCAGTCTCTTTGGATTTAGGGCCCACCCTAACACAGGATGAACTCATCTCACTTGATATTTTTTTTTAAAGATTTTATTTATTTATTCTTAGAGGGGAAGGGAGAGAGAAAGAAAGGGAGAGAGAAATCACTGCGGTTGCCTCACGCACGCCCCCTACTGGGAACCTGGCCTGCAACCTAGGCATGTGCCCTGACTGGGAATTGATCTGGTGACCCTTCGGTTCGTAGGTCAGCACTCAGTCCACTGAGCCACACCAGCCAGGGCATCAGTCAATTCTTAAGTAATTACATCTGCAAAGATCCTGTTTCCAAATAAGGTCACATTCTGAGGTCCTGGATGGATGTGAATTTTGGAGGACACTATTTAACCCGCCTCCTGGGCTCGCAGCATATCCCTCCCCCATTCTGACCTTCTTTTAGTCCCTTCTGCCTGACACAGTCCCTCCGTGCTGTTCCTTTGGCTTGGATGCCTTTACTTACCCCTACCCTTCAGTTCCCAGCTGCAGTGCCACCTCCTCTAGGAACCTGTCCCCAGCCCCCAAGCAGGACATGTCTGCTCCACAATCAGAGCACCACTCACCCTTCTTCTTGGCACCCAACACAGTTGTCACTCCATCTGTGGACAGTCTGTCTGATTAGTGTCCACGCGGTTCCTTTCAATGCTATGTCCTCAGTGCCCAGCTCTCTGACCAGCTCATAGTCACAGCTGATATATGAGACACAAGTCACCAGCACATCCCTTTGGATACAGGCCCACTCCCTGTTTTGATTCCAAGCTCCCCTGGAAACCTAGCTTCCCTTCTCTTTGTTTTCAGGGATAAACGTGCAGGTTACTTATCATTCAGAATGAATAAATAGGGATCAGTTTAAAATTAATGTTGTTCACGTTCATGTCCTTCAGCTCAGCAATTTCATTTTCCAAAAATCTATACAAAAAAGACAGATGTTAGTCACAGCATTATGTAGAATAGCCATGCCCACCCCAAATAATCAAAATAACCCAAATGCCCAAGAACAATTAAGGCCCTTTGTGCAATGAAATACTAAACAGGCATTAAAAATTATATTGCAGAAAAACGACAGGAAATATATCCAGGATATAGTAAGCAAAAACATGAGTCATGATATGGTATGTGGATATAATTCTGCGCTGTCTTGACTGTGCACATGTACGCGGGAAGGGTAGGGAGCTCCTGGAGCTGGGTGTGGTGGTGGCTGCTCACGGTGTGAATGTACCTAATGCCACGGAACTGTGCACTTAAAATCTGTTTTACTCTAAACTTAAAAAAAGATGCAGCGGGTCCTGAGCACAGGTGTTAACAGTGTCACCTCTGGGTGGAGGGATTACTGGAGTCCATTCCATGGGCCCAGACAGTGAAGATGTGACTCTTTAACTCATAAAGTACAGCCCTCTCTTGGTGAAGGACAGGCAAGGGTGGGTGCACTCTAGGGCGGCAGAGCCGGCCTCTCCTGGCCTTTCAGGGCCTCTGTGAGCCCTGGCGTGTGTCCTGCCCCAGCCAGACCCCACGGGTTTGCGCCGCGGCCTCTGCTTGTCAACCTCGGTGCTGGCTGTCCTATTTTACCACTATTGACCCTGAAGGCCATCGAGGAGGGCACGCTGGAGGAGATCGAAGAGGAGGTCCGGCAGAAGAAATCATCGCGGAAACGCAAGCGGGACAGTGACGCCGGCTCCTCCACCCCGACCACCAGCACCCGCAGCCGCGACAAAGACGAGGAGAGCAAGAAGCAAAAGAAGCGCGGACGGCCGCCTGCCGAGAAGCTCTCCCCCAACCCACCAAACCTCACCAAGAAGATGAAGAAGATTGTGGATGCCGTGATCAAGTATAAGGACAGGTAAGCTGAGGGATGGGGTGGACGGATGGACCCTGGGGGTCCTCGTAGGTGCCTTGCCTGGCCTTCCGTGTGCCTGTGAGCCCATTATTGGCTCGGTCATGCCACAAACATTGGTTCAATCTCTGTGTTGTGATGCCCCTGCCCTCATGGAACTTTCATTCTGCAGCAGGGAAGCACACAAATAGTATCAGCATGAGGAGAGGGAACTAAGAGTGTGGTGTGGCGGTTTGGGGATGAGCTCTCCAGCAGGGCAACAGCAGGTGGCGAGGCCCCAGGATGAGGGGTGGCTGGCGGGTTTGAGGCTAGTGATGGGGCAGGGTGGTGGGACAGGGGGTCTGTGCTGTGAGTGCGCCTGTCTCATGACCAGAGGACGGTGGTGAGGGCCGGAGCTGCTAGAGCAGAGGGTGTGGCTTTCCTTCCGTAGAGTCCCCCCCCCCGCCCATTGCACTGTCCCCATACTTGCATGATAAGCAAGCCCCGCTTTAATGCTGTGTCATTGCAAATCAGCCACATGTTGCCTGGCTGTGTCAGGCACTGTGGCCCCTGTCCTCACAGGCACCAGATATGAGCTAGTTCATGCTTTCAGCTGCAGTGGATCCGTTTGTGGATCACAAGTGCCATTTAAATGATTATAAGAAAATAATGGTTTTCCCGGAGCCCTCCAAGGAGACGCGCACGTTCTGCCAGCACAGGGTGGGCTGTGGAGCTGCAGAAGGCGGCCGGGGACACAAGGCCTCCGCCTTGCCCAGAGCTTGGCTGTGCTTCTGCTACCTGGTGCCTCATTTCACTTTCTGGTACATGCTGGCCAGTGTGGCTGTCCTTGTGACAGGCAGGTTGTACTGCTCGATTTTATAGTATTGCTTTGCCGTTAGGACTAAAGCAAAGAGTAAGGGAGAATTTTTTTCTGTAGGAGGGAAGAGTGCTGAGGTGTTAGCTCTCGTTGCACCATTTGGAGAGACTCTTGAGAAGTGTGAAGTTTTGGGGGTTGGTAACAATGGTGGTAATCCAAATAAAGGATATAAATTGACCTTACAAAAGAATCTTACTATCAAAGAGGAACAAATGATGAACTAAAAAGGAGGCATATGCAAGTTCCAGCTTCTGGATCTGAAAATGTAATTAGTGTCAGTATTGAGATGAAAATATTAACATTAATTTGCAAACTTGACCTTTGAGGCAAATTCCACAAAGAAAAATGGAGAAGTTAAAATATGGAATGTGGAAAAGTCTGATGAAAACAGTAGACCCCAGTGTTTTTTTCTTAATAATATTGTGAGAGAAACTTGAAATTACCAAAATGAAGAAGACCCTGGAAGGTCAGTGGGACAAGGACAAACTTTACGAAAAAGTCGTGCTGATCTTTTGGATATCCTTGTGGAGAAGAACCTTGACACACATACACATATATTAACTTGAAATGGATGATAGACGTAAATGTGTAAGGTAGAACAAAGTTCTAGAAGAATGCCTGGGAGAAAATCTTCATGGCCCTGAAGTAGGCATTGACTTCCTCAACAGGACACCAACTCCACTACCCATTAAAGACTTCACTAAAAGTAAGAACAACTGTTCATCAAAAGACATGCTCCCGCCTTGGCTGGTGTGGCTCAGTGGATAGAGCACCGGCCTGTGAACCAAAAGGTCACCGGTTTGATTCCCACTCAGGGCACATGCCTGGGTTGTGGGCCAGGTCCCCAGTTGGAAGTGTGTGAGAGGCAACTGATCCATGTATCTCTCACACATTGATGTTTCTCTCCCTCTTTCTCCCTCACTTCCCTTCTCTCTAAAAGTCAATAAATAAAATCTTTAATTAAAAAAAAAAAAAGACGCGCTCCTAAAGGCTGTGAAAACTCCTGCCACAGACTGGGAAAAGTACACCCAGTTTTAAAATAGGCAAAAGGCATGAACACTCAGTTTCTTCGCATTGACATCATCAAATGAGAGTCAAATGCCTCTGCACATGCCACAGAAAGGCTATAGTTCCCTTAGGTGTTGACAGTGATGTCGAGCAGTTGAACCTCACATACTGCCCAAGGGGGCGTGCGGCTCTTTGGCAGTATCTTGTAAAGCTCAACATAAAGATGAATTTTCTGACCCAGAACTCCAACCCTAGTTGTAAACCCAAGAGAGCTGAGTGCATGTCCACCGAAAGACTTGTACAAGCACGTCCATGGCAGCTTTGATAGTAACTGCCCCAAACAGAGCAGCCCAGTGTCCACCCCAGGAGAATGTGTTGGTGGTGGCCCAGTCATACAGCAGAAGTCTAACAGCCACAAAACCAGAAACACCACTGCTCCTTGAAAGAATCTTACATTTTATCGAATGACAGAAGCCAGACCCTAATGAGTTTCTTTGTGTGCCTCAGCTACGTGAAGTTCAGAAGCCAGTCCACAATGATGGATCCCCTTGAACAGTGGTTACCTTGAGACGGGGGAGCTTTCTGGAATGTTGGGAATATTTTGTCTATCAGTCTGAGTGTATACATGAATATGTTCATCAAGCTGTATACTTAAAATGTGGGCACTTGCCTGTGTAAGGTTATAAACTCAGTTTAAAAAAAAACAAACACTTGGAAACAGCAATCTGAACTTGTTAACGAGGCATTAGATGTTAAAAAAAAAAGTAAATATCAGTCTACTTTCTGAGTCATTATGCAATTTACTGAAAAACTTTTGTTAGCCTCATATTTAGATGTAAATCGTGTGCCAAAAAATAGTTTCTCCAGCTGCTACAAATAGTTCTCCCAACCTGTGTAAAGCCGGGCGAGAAATCAGGCAATAAAGAAAAACTAGCTTGTAGGGGTCAGTGACCCCTTGTCAAGACTGTCCCGCTGCAGAGCGCCGAGATCCTGGCGGGGGTTCGGAGGCCTCATTTGACGAGAACAGCAGCGCTGGAGGCACAGAGCTGCACTCGCGGCCGGCGTCGGACCTGCGTGGCAGGACCCCTTGTCAGAAGGTGTTGTGCCTGGTTTATATTTCATCTCCTGTCCTCCAGGTGTGGATAGCATCACAGAAGGGGAGGTTCTGCATTAGTCAGGGAGGATCTAGGGAGGAGATACAAAGGGGAGGGCAAATAGGACCATTAAAGGAAGCTGCTGTGTCCTGGTTTGCAGCCGGCGCAGGGCTGTCCACTTGCCGGTTTTGCTGGTAGTTGTACGGGAAGAGATCAAATAGGCATGTAAATTCAGGGAAACAGCCATGTTTCCCTGGTTGAAAAGTTACCCTATCTGGCACATACTTTCAAAGATGATATTTGGGTACAAAGCTGACCTATTTAATGGTATTTCTGATGTTCTTAAACTGATTTTGAAACCACGGGGAAAACAACAACGTGATTGATCCTATTGTGAGTTTAAGTGACCATCTATAGACCACCCTCACTTACTTCTGACAGCATTTGCAGAGTTCAGGAGTCCACAAGACCACACTCAAGCTCGATGACTCTCAGAACTCTATGAAAGATGTTATACTCATGGTTATATTTTATTACAGCAGAAGGATATGTATTAAAATCAGCTAATTGAAAGAGTTGCGTGGAGCAGCATCCAGGAGAGGCACACACCTCGAGCTTCCTGTTTCCCTCTCCCCACGGAGTCCCAGACAGCGCAGGCGGTATTATGAAACAGTGTGCGCAGAGCACTGCCAACCAGGGAATCCTTGGTGTCTAGAGCTTTTATTGGAATTTGGTCACATAGACATGACCAACTGCTCATGTGGCTGCCGTGTCTTCAGCTCCTCTGTAGGTTGAACTGGAACCATGTGACCCAACGTCCCTACCCTAAATCACATTCTTAGGCTATCCGGGCCCATGGTACCCATCAGGCAGGATGCTCCGAGGGTTGAGAGATTGTCTCCCAACAGCCAAGGGCATCTCCCTGGTGTGGGTTAAACTTGTTACAACTACATGTCACACATTGAAAGGTGCCGAAGGACTGGTCACTGCACCACCCCAAAGAACTGGGGTGGAATAAAATCGGAGATTGCCTGACTCACACTTGCTTTGTCTCAAATTTCAAATTGTTCCATCTTAGAAGAGAAAGTGAAACATTTGGGTTTTTAAAAAATTGGTTCCCGGTACCCTATAAGCAGCTAAATTCCATCCTTGAGTTAAATCTGGAGCCTGGGGAGAGAATGAATCGATACAAGAATAATACCAGGACATTGTCAGCATTTGGATTCAGTGTCGGGAGGATGCGGCGCCGCTGCGGTGGTCCCGAGTGACCACAGGCGGGAGCCGGGGTCGCACCTTGATGTGGTGACTCAGTGGAGAGCCTCTGCTGCGGGTCTGAGCAGGGCCGCCCTTCCGTTAACTGGCGTCACTCCAACTGTTGCTTTTCACGATTTATTTCAAGATTCCTCCAGCTGTATTTAAATAGCAGTGCAATCTTGGAGGATATTCCCTTTGTATTTACACCCTTGTCCATATGAAGGTAATGTCCACTCTTGGAAGCGTTGCTTTCTTTATGTGTGCTCAGATTCAGGCCTCGCCCCTCCCTCCCAAGGCCCCACATGCGCGGCGAGTGGCAGTTCCTGGAGCTGTGTGGCATCTGGCCTCCACAGCCTCGGCGGCCCTCAGTCGGGTCATGAGGAAGATGCACTTTGCACTGTAGGGCTGCCGTGGGAAAAGGCCTGGGGAGTCTCCAGCGCTGCGCCTTTGCCCTGCACTGGTGCAGGCAGCCCCGGGGCCCAGGGGGCGGCAGGGCAAGTACCTTATCAGCAGAGCCTGAAGACTTGCAAGGGCCAGACGAGGGGAGACTAGGGAACAGCGTCGCAGGCGAAGGGGACAGCATGGGCAGATGCCTGGAGGCCAAGCACCAAGGTTTCTCAGAATAAGAGGAAGCTGAGGGGCCCCCATAGGGGCCAAGTCAGCATGCGGGTCCTGGCAGGTGGCTTCTCCTTGGTGATTGGAAATCTCAAAAGGCATCAAAGAGCCCACTGGTCCAACAGCCAGAATCGAAATCTGAATTAAGGAACTAAGTTGGAATTAAGAGTTTGCACTTC